ACTACAGATTCCTCTGGTTTTCTGCACCACATAAAAGAAACAGGGATCTCTTTGGAAATATGGACAGCAAAGGAAGAGACGAGCTAAAGAAGGGAAAGAGGAGAGAATCTGTCCTGGCATGCTGCTGTTAGAAGCCTTCCGTTCTCTGCAGTCTGGGATAAAATTGAGCATTCTCAGTCATTCTCCTAGAAATTGACTTTTGATTAGAGAAAGAAATGTGAGATTTCCTCCGTGCTCCCAGTGGCTTCAGAGTTCTTGGGAACTTCACAGCTTTAGGCTTGCTTCAGGCAACTAATGAACTGGAGGCCGGACCAGGGACATCAAATCGGCTATGCTTAGCCAGTGTTGGGTACCGTGTCCTGCACTGACCGTTGTTCCAAAAGATGTTTTGGAAGAAAGGGCAGAAGAGAGCAGCAAAAGAAGAAGGTGGGTTGAGAGATGCTTTGGCTGGCTGGTGGGCCCGCTGGCATCTTTCTGTACACTGGATTTTGCCCAGCTGTGGCCAGTGGCCAGTTCCTACCGTAGGAGGAAGGTGGGAAATAAACTCTCTCCTGGGAGAGCTTGTTGCCCAGGAATAATGCACTGTCTCTGGCTTGTGCTTCCTATGCAAGGATACTGAAGGCATCGGGCAGCCAACCCAGAATGCAGAAAGAGTTCCTTGGGACCAAATCAAAGGCCAGTCTAGAATAAAATGCAGAGCAAGCCAGCACACAGCGCAGGGCTGGATAAAAGAGCCCAGAAAAGGAGTGGATCTCTGAAAAGCCCGGGATAAAAGGAGGGCCTTTTCCCAGCAGCACAAGTATAGCGACCTAGGAGAGAGAGGACTTTTGGGGGAGGACTTGACAGCAGAAGCTCGTTCTCCTGCAGCCACACACTATATGTAGCCCTCTCCTCCTGAATTTGTTAATTTTTTGCTAGGCCAGAGGGCATTGTCCCCTCTTGTGGCAGCAAATTCCCCCATTTACCCAAGTGCAGTCTGAAGTACAGTTCTCTTGCTGTTAAGTTTTTTGCTCCCATCCCCAGCTGAAGTCTGGTAGAAAAGACATAGAATTCAGGGATTCTGAGCCCAGAAAGTTTTGAATGCTCCTTACAGTCCTTTCACACGCTTCCACTTACTTGCTCTTCGTGGTCTAATTAGGGTGGGAAGGGGAGTTTGCTTGCTTAGGTTCTTGAATAGAAACATAGAAACAGAGCGAGTCAGAAGGGGTCTCCTGGGTCGTCTAGTCTGACCCCCGGCTCCGATAGAGAAATACCGTGTATGGCTTTAGCCTGTTGATCTGTCTAGCCTAGCATATCGACACTGGCTGGCAGCCACCGCTTTCCTGGGTTTTGGCAGGAGTTTTTCCCGCTATGTGGAGTTTAGGCAGGAGTTTTTCCCGCTATATGGAGAGCCAGTGTGGTGTAGTGGTGAAGAGCATGGGTCTGGGACTCAGACGACCTGGGTTCGAGTCCCCGCTCAGCCATGGAGCCCACTGGGTGACTTTGGGCCAGTCACAGACTCTCAGCCCAACCTACCTCACAGGGTTGTTGTTGTGGGAATAAGATGGAGGAGGAGAATGATGTCAGCTGCCTTGAGTCCTTTGTAGGAAAAAGGCAGGATATAAATCGAAATAATAAATAAATAAATAATATCCGGAAATGTTGGATTCTCAGCCTGTATACAGAGTGCTGCTTGTCCTAGTATTTAGGAATAATGGCCCCTAAATAATTGTCAGTCAATTATTTTGCTGATTGATGTCTTTCTAACTATCCTGCCTTTTTCCCTTTTTTCAAATCTTTTTTATTTATTTTCAAAAAGTACAATAGAAAGAAGAAAATATATAGGAAAAAAGGTACCAAAGGTCATTCCAGAAATTTGGCATGCAACATCCTCATTTGAAGATATTTATAATAAACAAAAGTTTCTCTCAGCCACCATCCCATCTAAACCATTCAATTCTTAATCAGAAATTTATCCGGCCTATAATATTAGTTACAAATTATAACATTGCTTTGGTTTAGAGTGGTAATCACAGACATTTGACCTTATGAAGTTCAGTCATTATATTTTCTTTAACAGTTATTTAAATGGCTTATAATAAGCCTTCCGTCTTTGAGTGAATTCTTTAACTGGTCTTCTGTTGATATAGCGAGCTAACTTTGCCATTGTCAGCAAGCTTGTTTTATCAATTCAACAACTGGGCAATCTTCAGCTTTCCACTTAGAAGCAATTATTACCATTGTCCCTGTTATCATAAATTTAAATAACTCTGTCATAATCTCTGGAATGGTCTTTGGCACAGTATTCAATAACATGTTCTTAACAGTCGCTGGAAAGTCAATTTTAAGTATTTTCTGCATCTCAGCATGAATCTGCTTCCAAAACCATTTAATTCCATCACATGTCCACCACATACGGTAAAATGCCCCATCTATCTCTTTACATTTCCAATATTGTCCATTATAATTCTTGTCCATTTTCTGTATCTCTTTTGGGGTAATATACCACCAGAAAGTACATCTTATATCAATTTTCTCTTAATACTTGGCATGCAGTGAATTTTATATTCTTTGTCCATAAGACTTCCCATTGATGGAACCTGCCTTTTTTCCCTTATAAGGCGCTCAAGGCATTTTACATAACTGTCCTACTCATCAGAATCTTATCCTCATAACAACCCTGCGAGGTAGGTCAGGCTGAGAGTCTGCAGCTGGCTCAAAGTCACCCAATGAGCGCCACGGCCGAGTGGGGACTAGAACCAGCCCTACTGAGCCCCAGTCCCAAACTCTTAACCCCTACAGCACTCTGGCTCTATTGCAAAACATCCAGAGTTTCACCAGTAAATCCAGATCTTCTGTCGGTTTACCCCTGGGGTCAGCCATACTGGGCTAGATAAACGGATGAGTGTATTCAGTATATGGCAAAGTCATACAGCTGCTTTCCCTTCCTAAGTAGCTCGCAGAACTACTGTCCAAGCAGAACCCCAGTGACAGACCCACATGTGTTTTGTGTGGCATGAGGACTGGTAACTTGCTCTCTTTAACTGACACTGCTTGAGATTCTCACATTGTAATCCTCCAGAAACTAAGAAGCTCTCCGTTGTAAACTTCATTCTGCAAAGCTTAGCTCTGCCATGGCTGTGAAGGATCTTGGGCTGATGAACTCGGATCTAAGGCATCTTTCACTCAAAAGCTGCTGTGAATTTTGTAAAAATAAAATTCCAGCGGGACTCTCCTCTTGATGCCCAACATTTCACTGGGAAGACCACTTGAATTATTAATTCTGAGCATTTAGATAAGATTCATATGTCTTTGTTTAGAGCAGTTTCCCATTAATAAGGAAAATTGGAAAGTTATCACTTAGATCTCCTCATTAAGGTTCATTCCCTGACATGGTATAATAAAAATGAGCAGTGGAGCAAAGGGGCGGATCTTCTTGTCTGTGAGCTTTTTCAGAGAATCCAGAAGATGATTTTGGATCATCTACTTGCACTTGCACCTGGGGTGCGGGTGTCCTCCTGAGGAATGGGCTGGGGTGGGAGCTCCAGCCACATCTCCAGTGGAATTGCTTATCAGCTCCTGATAGATTTGCAAACAGGTAAAATATACCTGCCATTTGCTAAGCGAAAGTCCTGTTCTAGCCTTCTCTACTCTGGTGCCCTTCCACTCCCATCATCCCCAGGCAGATGGCATGGCCATTTCAGGAGGACACCAGCCTCGGGAAGGCAGATCTTTACCGGCTGATGGCAGCATCTTTAGGATCTCAGGAAGGGCTTCCCAATCGCCTTTCTACCTGATCCCCGGAGGTGGAAGTGACGAACCATCTGGGATCTGGTGTAGGCAGCGAGATCTTCCATGGAGGAATGTAACTTTGCAGAGATGTTTGCTCCTGTTGGACCAAAGTAGAGTGCAAAAGAAAAAATGCATACTAGATGCATTTTTGCCTGCATGTTAAATGAATCAGTGCGGCAGCATTCCTGAAGCATCTAAATAGGAAGCGATGTATATTATAAGGGCTCTCCAGGAAGGACAGTAAGGAGGCTATTAAGATTCATAGGCGAACTTTCCCACTGTCCAAAAGCCAAATTAGTTTCTCTGAGCTATGCCAAAGCTTTCTGGCCTTTGGCTTGTAAGGAGGAGTACCGGAGAGGATTGCCAGGGAGCTGCCTTCTGTAGAGAAGAGCTGCTTTTGCTGTGAGAACGAGACTGTTTGCCTTACTGAGGCAGCTTTGCCCCTCACGCCATATCCCAGGATGCAGAACTGGAGCTTGCGTACATCCAGCCAGACCCAGCAAGACTGGGAGAGAGGAACTCTTTCCATGGCAATAGCCCTTGCTTTTTCTTCTTTGCCTGGGGAGAGGAAGTGGGCATAGCCCACCCAGACAACTCTGAAAGTCCACGGAGCATCCCGGGGCCTATGCAGGGATCCGACAAGGCCATGCAGAAGGGGAGTGCAACCTTCCTTTCACCTGTTCGTATTCTGCATCCATATTTCATCACTGCATCCTAGAAACCAGATTGTCTTTTACCCAGGTGGCTTCATTTCTTCCTAAGTATCTTCATTCTAAAGTGAGGTGCCTCAGCTGGACCAAATCTCTGGGGTTATATCAGAGCATAAAAAGACTAAACACAAAATACTATGCATGTTTGGAGAGAAAAAAGACCTTCAACTCCCAGCGTTCCCGAAAGCTATACGGCTATGAGATTTATTTCCCCTGTGTATTAAATTAACCAGTAGCTTGGAATGCTTGGAATTGTAGGATTTTTTCTGTCCAAGCATGTATAAGGTTACACTCCAGTCTTCTGTAACAACATCAGAAGTCTTGTTGGTTCGCACCAAAGGTCCCTCCGCTCTGCTGTCCTTTCCCCAAAGGTGACCCATCAGATGTTTTTGGGGAGACCTCCAAGCATGACATGAGGGCACCAGCCTGGGCTGACGTGGAGGAGAAAACTTGTCACCTGCTTTCTGCTTTCATGCTGAGCAATTGCTTTGTCTGAGCATCTTTTCTTTGCTTTTAGCCATGGCAGAATCATATTCCTACAGGGTAGGAAAGAAGGTTGCCGGCTCCAGCAAGACTAGTGCGGACAAGGACAGCGGCAAGACAGAGATGAAGATAAACCCAGCGTATGAGGAATCAAGCTTGGGTAAGGAAGGGCCTGGCCTTCGTCAAGTGCAGCCGACAGGGTTGCTCTGGACTCGGGGGAACGGCATCGCCCTGGGGGTGAGAGGCGCTCTCAGCACAGCGCCAATTTCCATTTAAGAGAGGTGCTTTTTATTGGTGGGTGACTCAAAGGCAAAGGGCATGCGTCTGGGGAAAAGGGCATAGCCATCCTCTGATGTGGCCTGCAAGCTTAAGAATCTGCAGCTGCCGGTAGACGCCCTCCCGGTTCCCCTCTGGGCTCTAAAGGAGCTGTCCTTGGTCCTGAACCTGTTTGTGGGCAAGGGTTGCAGCCTCAGGGACAGATCCTTAAAAAACATGTGAACCTCCAAGCTGTGCTGGGCCTGCACTCAGCAAGGGAAGCGACAGTGAGAAAACCCTGTGGAGGAGGGCCGGAAAAAGGAGTATTCGGGTAAAAGGTGTTCCGGTAACCATCTCCCACTGAAAACGTGGCCCATCTGCCTTCTGGCCCTCTCTCGCTCTGCCTAATCCACATCCCTGCAGAGAGGAGGCTGGCAGCAAATCCAATGCTTTCTGTAAACATGCCAGCACTGACGGTCTTGAGGAAGGGAGGCGAAAGAGAAAGACGCCGACCTGACCTCTGGGCCTGGGACTGTGTGGCGCGTTGGACAATGAGTCAAAATACCCTCCTTTCTGCTAGGCATGGGGGCACTTCTGGCATTTAAAGATCTTGGGCCCAGATCCCGAGGAAGCATATCTGCAAAAACGTGTGCAAGCTATTTCTGCGTATGCAGAACAGTTAGGTTTTATTTTTTTAAAGATTGCGGAAGGCAAAGCAAGCCATTTTATCTCTCACCCAGATCACCTGTGATGAAATAAATTGTTTAATCCAATCGCAGGCTCTTCCCAGATCAGCCTGAACCGGAAATTCATTTGATTACACCGAAGTTTCAGTGTTTCCTAGCTGAATCCAGTGTATCCTCATCTGTCTGTCTCTCTCTCTCTCTCTCTCTCTCTCTCTCTCCCCCCCCCCCCCGCCTTAAGGAAAAGTGCCCCTGCCCCATGCAATTAAGCTTAAAAGCCTAGGAAGGCCTCGGCAATTATAGGCAGCCTATAAATACGTGTAAATAAATAAATGAATGGAAATCGATGGGGACTCGGGGCTCTTTGGCAAAGAGATCCAGGCCCAAAGTCCATGGTTCCAAACCTGGCAATGGCTGCAAAGTTGGCGTGGCCCCGCTCAGATGTCAGTGCATACTTTGGTACAGCGTTATCCTCAGTGTCAAACCAATCCCTTTTGCACACGCTTAGCTGTATTGCCGGCACTCTCGCGTGCAAGCCAAGAGCACAAGGGGGTGATTTTGCATTCTGCTCGAAAGGATGTCTGTCCCACATCAAAAGTAGTTTGCTGGGGCTTTTTTGCTGCTTTGTTAGCAAGAATGGGATGTGAACTGCCTGGCCAGTGCAAAAGCCATTGGCTCATTGGAGGGAAAGGGTTTAAAATTGATGGACACCCATCAAGAGGTGCCGATGTGCTGAGGCGAGCCACCTTGTCGTTTCACGCATGCCTCTGTCCTTTCTTGCAGGAAATGCAACCAATGACAGAGCAGAAGGCAAAAGGAAAGGGAGACCAAAGGCGGACAGCCAGGCGCTGAAGGATATTCCTGTAAGATGTTTTTTCAATGTAGTTCTTCTTTTCTGGTGATGGAAGGAAAGGAAGGGGAAAGGGAGCAAGCCAGGGCATTCCAGAACCCGATTCTGTTTGTCGTGCTCTTTGTTCCTGGCAAGTTCCCCGGGATTTGGCTGTTTGTGTCTGGTTCTTGGCCCCTGGCTGTCTTTGCAGTTAGCTGTCAAGCCTTATTTTGAATCAATTACCTCTATTATGAAAACAACAAGCAAGCAAGCATTGCCTCAGGCTGCGGAGCGTGTCCTCTTACAGCCAAAAGGGACTGGTATTCCAGGCAGGTTTTGCACAGCCCAGTACCTTCTGGGGCTCAGGCAGTTCCGTGGGTTAGAGCCCCACGAAGGAGGGTTGTCACCGAAGTGACTCCTTCCGCTGTGGACTGTGGTCCTTTCCAAGCTGTGTGGGCCACCAGGCCCCACCCCCAAGCTGGGTGTTTCCATGGGGGGCTCCTCCCTAGCTGAAGTTCTTGGGGCTCCACATGAGCCTATGCCGCCCCCCCCAATCTCATCCAATGCCTCCCTCTTTGCTCTCCTGCCCTGCCCCGTTCCTGTTCTTTAGGAGTCTGTGTTCCCTTGGGTTCAAAGGGCCAGGCACGAAGAATTAGGCCCAGCTGGGTCTCTTCCTCTGCCGGCTCCTTCATCCTAGGTACTGCAGCAACGCGCTCCACCTCCCTCTCCCCGCCTGATCCAGAATAAGTTATCCTGTGCAGGGATGTTGGCCCGTTCCTGGGAAATGCCAGTGGCACCAGCTCCAGGCCCACGCTGGCGCCCACTCATCTGACCTTCTGGCCCCATCCCGAGCCCTGCAACCAGCCCCTTCCGCACCTGGAAGAACGCTGCTTCCTAGGTCAGCGGAGCTTCTTACGCATTGCTGCTTTTATCCTGAGCCTTGTAGGAGCTACCCATTGTGTTCCATGGAGGCGAACCTATGTGTGGATGGGGTTCAGCACCATGGACAGCTCCTGTAAAGACCAGAATGGGTGCCGCGGTGGATGCAGGAGCCCGCGGAAGGGGCCGTGGCAGGCAGCTGCCCTTTACCTGCCCCTCTTTGCTGCACCGGCCATTGCAGGCGGGTTGCACCACTGATGCCTCTGACCTCGTTTTGCGGGGAAGGGGACTGTGCCGTCGGAGAGCCCCCCCCCCCCCCCCACCGAGGGCTCTTTGCCAGGGGTGCGGGCGTCACCTTTGGGGAAGTCAGCTGCACGTCGCAGCACTCGGGGAAATGGGTCGACCCGCAGCGGCCGATCCCTCAAAGACAGAGGAGTCCCGCTCAGGGGGATCTGAGAGTGCAGGAACCGTCCTGCGACCCCCATTGCGCTCAGCCGCCATTCGATGTCTGGATTGCGGCAGCTGGACGAGGCCGACTGGGCAAAACCAGCCTTGGGTGACAAGCAGCCTTCGTTTTCCAGCCGGGAAGGGCAAGTGGCCCTGCAGGGCGTCTCCTTGGCGGTGGAAATCCGGAGACCCCACCGACAGAGGAGGGTGCCTGACGCATCTCTGCATGATTTACTCCTCTGGCTTCCTTCTCTGCCGCGAGAACATTTGCTGCTTCTCCGCATTGCCTATGATCTGGTCATTCAGTCACTCAGAACAGAGTTGGCCACTTCCAGAAGAGGCTTCCTCTTGCAGCTCTGCCTGAGTTCCTGCTCTGGAGTAATTCAAGAGCAACCCTCTGGGGTCGGTCATTCTTATTTTTCAAAGCCAGGATCTGGGATGGGAGGAGAAGAATTTGGGCTGTGTACTGGCATCTCCCAGCTGGGAGAGGCCCACGGAGAACTGCCTGGCCTGTAACAGGTAGCTCTGACCAAGGAATGGAGCCAGAGCTGGCGGCTCGCTTGGCCCCAAGCACCACTGGATCCCCGTGGGAAGCCACAGGGCCCTCCACAGGGTGCCTTCCTGGAGATTAGGACTAGCATGCCTGAGCTAGTTTTGGTGGGAGCTTTGTGCTTGCTGCTTTGCAAAGAGGTGGGCGTTTCTTTCTTCACCCTTTCTCTTCCTGGTGTGTTTACACGGACCTTTCCCCTCCCGCAGCCACCCTTGATGAACCAGTGGAAAGATGAGTTCAAGGCCCATTCCAGGGTGAAGTGCCCCAATTCAGGCTGTTGGCTGGAATTCCCCAGCATCTACGGCCTCAAATACCACTACCAGCGCTGCCAAGGGGTAAGGAAAACTGAGGTCTGTGCTTCTTTTTGGTGACCCCTCTTTATCACCTTCATTGTGGGATGTGTCTCTAACCTTGTTATTTAACCCTGTCAAAGCTTGGCTGCCTTCCTGCATGTGAAGTCTTGGGAATAAATGGGAGGAAACAGAAAAATGGGGCAGGGAGGCAAACCCATCCTTGCCTGCTAGATTTTCTAAAATTCCCAGAGGGGAAGTTGTGCTTTTCCCCTCCAATTTTTCTCTCCTGCAAGGTCATCACATCGTAACTGTAGGTACACAGGTATGGACACATCCATAATCCTTGGCATGCAAGCACCCATCTGATCCACTTCCAGTACACTTTAATAAACAACTTCACCCCTATACACTCACCTGTCAGGTACACACATGCAGGTACTTTACATGTTTGAGAAAGGCTCTGTTCTAGGTGCCCTCGACTCACAAGACCCATAGAATCAGAGAGGGAGAGAGAGACGGGGTCTTTTTAGTTGTGGCTCCCTCTGTGTGGCACATCCTGTTAAAAGAGACCCACCAAATCGGATCATCCTCTTTTGACAGGCTTCCCTGCTCAGACAGGTATCTGCAAATGCTTAAGTTCTGAACTCGTTTTTTTGGGAATGCTGTCGCTGCAACTATTCTGACCTGTTCCTTCCATCGTGGATCATTATTCTTTTGGTTTGCTTTTATTCATATGCCTCATATTTGCAAGTTGAATTAAAATGGGAGCAGAATGTTAAACCTTGGTTTTATGTGCTGTCAAGCTGTCCCTGCCTTATGATGGACCCTGTGATCCATCTCGTAGTTGCTCCTCCTCTTCATCATCTGCCTTCGGCTCTCCCTGGTACTGTTATCTTCTCCAGGGAGCCGTGCCTTCTCATGATGTGCCCAGTCCAGCAGCCTCGGTTTCATTGTGTTTGCGTCGAGGGAACAGTCTGGCTTGATTTGCTTTAGCACCTGCTTGCTCATTTTTCTGTCTGTCCAGGCTATTTGCAAAGCGCTCCTTCAGCAAGTTAGATCTGTACACTGGGATTCTGGGGTCATGTGGGAAAGTGAGCAAAGAACATGCTTTTGAAATCTAAAAGGCGGCATCCCAGGAATCTCAAGTTCCATGCAAACAACAAAACCAAAACAGGAACGTGCAAACTTCTAGCCCTTATGGAGAAAGCTGTTTGGAAGGTCAAGGAAATGCAATTGACAGAATCCAGCTTGGAGACTGTGGGAATGAGGCAGGGGCTGCTTTATGGGGTTCCCGGTCACATAGAGTGCCCTATTTGTGCTTAATTAAGTGAGAGGAGGTCTCCTGCAGAGCTGTGGCTGAACACCAGATGGCTGGGGATTGGATGCGCCAGTGCTGGCATGCATGGGGATGTGGCAGTGGGGCCATCGTACCTGTCCCTACCCCCTGTTGTAGCGTTCCCATGTTCTTAGAAAATGGTGAGGACAGCTGGTGAATTCCTCGTTGTGTACAGCATCCTTCAGTTAGCACAGTCGAAGTGGCATTAGATGTTTGAGGCACTGCATCACACAGCAGAAACACTGAGGGTACTCACCTGGGCAAATTTGGGCAGAAGAAGGGCCTGCAACCCACCAGAGCTGTACCTGTACCTGTACCTGTACCTGCTGGGCCATGTCTTCCCCATCCTAAACTTGTAAGCTTTGTTTTGCCTTGCATGTACTTCATGAGAAGGTCCTCTTGTTGGCTTTGGCCCAGTCCATTTGGGAGTCTCAATTCTGCCTTCCGTGGTGTTAGCTACTCCTGCCAGCTGTGTGTCAGCTGCACATTTGACAAACCATCCCATGTACACCCTCATCTAAGTCCTAATTAGAAGAACACCAGCATAAGACTGAGGGCCCTGTGAATGCGTGTTGTGTCCTATTAAAAATTATAATTATCCATGGGTTGATTGGAAATGGCAGATTTTCAGAGAAAGGTCTTCATTCTTTCTACTATAATTACATGAAAATTCATGCGTCGCAAGCCTCGTCTTAGAAGAAGCATGCCCTGCTTTCCCTTCTCCGCAAGAAGGAATGCCTTTTCTGAGGGTGTGCCCACTGCAACACCATGCCTCAACCAGAAGCTAAAAACAAAGGGTTAAGGCTAACATGTTGCTCTCAGAATAATCACAAGGGTTGGCATTGCTGTGTGTATTTATTTATTATGTTTCGATCCTGCCTTATTGCAGCAAGGCGTCCAAGCCAGTTTGCATAACCCGCCTCCCCTTTGTCATTCACTTCCTCACAATAACCCTGGGAGGTAGATTAGGCTGAAAGTCACATGACTGGCCTCAAATCCCCCAGTGAGTTTCGTGGCTGAGTGAGGACGAGCGCTTCCACTTCCGGAGTCCTGATCCGCCGCAGTAACCACCCCTTGTGCAGCCACAAAGAGAGCGCAGAACCGGTGCAAGAAACACCCAGCCTTTTGAAGGCGTAACGGCTTGGAGGCGCCTTGCAAACTGGCTCTTGGAACAGCTTATGAAGTGCCTATGCAAAAAGCCTCGTGCAGACGGAATCAGAGCATTAGATTTCATGCTTGTGCAAGGATGAAGATGGGTCTGCAGAGGGTTAAAGGGTGGGCAATCTGGGGCCATCCTATGTTTTGGCCAATAGCTGCCCCGTCCCATACCATTGGCTACGCTGGTTGGGGCTGATGGGACTTGTGGGCCAAAAGGGCTGCACAAGGTTGCTCTCAGTTGTGGAATTTGAATGCTTAGTTTTGCTGTTTTATTCCCATGCAAATGAATGCCAGTTGAGTGGCATTCAGAGAATTGGGTGTGATTCTGTGCAAAGGGAGGCAGACAAAAAGTCCTGGGACTTCTCTTGTGTCCAAACATGCTGGTGTCACGCCCTTCATTGATTAAGATCACTGAGGTGCAGTAAATCCAGAGCCCTCTGCTGTAGCTGGAAGACCCAGGGCTTCCGTTTCCTCCACGCTCCAGTTCCTGTCCACTTTCTTTCTCCTCTCTTGCAGGATGCCGTCGTGGAGAAACGGACCTTCCCCTGTCCGTACTGTGAAGCCACTTTCACTTCCAAAACCCAGCTGGAAAAGCACCACCTGTGGAACCATCTCGAGAGGACCCTGCCAGCCGTGGCCCCGCCGGCGGAAAACAGAGTGCAGAAATCCGCTGGCAAAAGCGGGGGCAAGAAAAGGTATCTGCCTGCAGCCTGGTGGCAGGCGGATCGGGATGGCAGGAGAGGGTCTGATCTGAGGAAGGCCTTGATGGTGGTGGCTCCGCTCTAAACCAGTCCTCTGTGCTTTGCCCTAGACCTGCCGAGGGTTCCGCTTCGCCCGGCAGCCACCCCAAGCAGGCGAAGGTGGAGAAGGCTGTCACCCTGCAACGCCCGGAGAACGGCGAGTACACGGCGGTCAGCCAGGGCGGCAAAGAGTTCCAAACAACGGCAGCCAGAGGCGGAGGGGTGGCAGCTACCCCGGCCGCCCAGCCGTCGGGCAGCAGAGGCTCCAGGCAGCAGCCCCACCGGCAGGTCGTTGTGCAGGAGGAAGACCCTGAGCGGATGAAGCACAGTAAGATTAGAGCAGCGTTTCCCAGGCTTCCGTTCGCTCAGGCCAAAGGGCCCAGCCTTGCTCCAGCTGGGAGCACCTCACTCTCGGAGAATTCCACTTGAGAGAAGCTCTCGGGCTGCAATCCGTGGGTGGGCGGGGCCAGAGGCAAAGGGGAGGAGCCAAAGCACCCACAATGCCAAAACCTTGTAGCTGCACACTTCTACTGCCATCACGAGGCCCTAGGAGATGCATTTCAACCATTTTGAATGGGGAGAAATACAGCACAAAAGCTGGGAAGGTTCTGCACGACCGATGGTTGGGGGGAAAGGAGTGGAGCTGGGGGAAAGGAGTGAGGCCTTTTGCACAGCCCCGGGGTACCCGACTGGGAGCCCTGGAGGGCCGGACGCAGACCTCGGGCCTGAAGGATAGGTTTCGAGCGCGCAAGTAGAAGTTTCAACCCACTCCCTGAGAAGGCCACTGCTTGTGTTTCTGCATTAGTCCCCAACTTGCATGCCTCCTGTTTGGAAGGTTGCAAGCCCAGGTCGGCAAGTCACGTAGAGACGAGACAGGCAGCCTCTCTGGACAGAGGGTTGAGGGTTTTTGCCTCCCAGCCGCATGGGTGAAATTGGAATTTTTACAGGAGAGCCGTGGCAGAAATGCCTCTCTCACAGAGGCAGCTTGGCAGGAAGCAGAAACAAGTTTCTAGCTCTTACGATGGTGGAGGTTAAGGTGTGAGCAGCACTTGGGAAAATCTGAGAAGCCAGTTGGAGGCTACGTGGCCTTTCTGTGACCTGGAATGAGGCTTCAACACTGAGTCTATTTTCTGTAGGACCAGAAACTGCAGAATAAATTAGGCAAAAACAGGCAAGTTCTAATAAATGGCTTCAGTGTAGCTTTGCATAGATAGGGATCATGCCCCCTGAGCTTACCATGCAGGTGTTTGACCAAATTTCATTTCTGTTTTCTCCTTTTTGAGTTAGGAAGGAAACAGAAAACTCCTAAGAAGTTTACTGGGGAGCAGCCGTCCATCTCGGGAACATTTGGACTGAAAGGTAAAGGAAAAGTTGTGCTGGTCTGAGTGCAGGCGATTTCAGACGTTCTCCCGTGGGGCCCTTTGCACGCTGCAGAGGAGTCTGGGAAATGCTCTAAGCAGCACATCTGGTTCAGGCTGGCCACTCTGTGGCCTGTTGGACCTCACTGTTACTTTGCAGGAATGGAGCGGGTGCCCCAGAGGGCCACACCTGCTGTGGTGAGCGGAAGGTCCCCCAGGGCTGGCCTCGGCCACCGTGCGCTCAGCGGGCTTCCGGCTGTGCTGCATCGTGAAAGGGCCCTGCTGGCTGGTCCCTGGCGAGACAGGAGGGTCGGATCCCCTGGTTTTGTTCAGCAGTGCAGAGCCTGTGGCATTCATCAGGCTGCCCAGCCCCTTCCCCTTCCCCTCTCCCCATCACCGGTCGTTTGGTGGCTCCCAGCATCTGTGCGGTTGGCTTCTCCTGCTAAAAGATTGAAATGCCTCTCTGAAGACTGAATGGCTGGCTGTAAGAGCTTTGTGCTAAAACATGTGAGGAGGTTTACTCTCTGGGACCCAGATCCTTCGGACTCGCGCCGTTTCGCCTTCAGGCCCACCTGCCTCTTGTCAGTGTTGCCCCCTGCCCCGAGAGCTTCTCTGAAGTGGAGTTCGGCCCTCCGATTAAGCGAATTCTGTCAAGTTACCCACCTTTAATGCTACAACTGATCACAACGTTCTCTCCAGGAGACTTCAGGGTTGCCTTTTGTGGGGGGCAAGAGGGGGAGGGAGGCTAAGCTGCCTCCTTGGTATTGTCATATTGTATTGTAAGCCGCCTAGGTGGCCTATAAATATATGTAAGTAAATAAATAGATATTTTTCCTCTGCTGTTTTTCCCCTCTGGTGACTGCCAGCCCGTGGGTGGCCTTTCTGGGGGGCCCAAGACCCCCCCCCCCAGCAAACTTCTGTGGTGAGGCAGTGGTTACATAGAAACAGAAACAGCGAGTCAGAAGGGTCCCCCTGGGCCATCTAGTCTGACCCCAGCTTCAGCCGGCTCCACTCATGACATGCCCACCATGCGCATGCCCAGTCTGTCCTCAGACAACCTCACCGATGGGGCCTCAACCTCCTCCCATGGAAGCCCATTCCATCCCCTGGGAAGAGCTTCCTGGCATCCACGCTAAATCTTGGTTCCCTGAGCTTTGCTCGACTGGAACACATCCTGCCCTCCGGTTACAGGAGGGAGGGCATGCCGTATCGCAGCCCTGTGGCCTGCGGCAACTAACTAATCTTTTGTTAAGATGGCAAGTCTCCTGCTCCAAGGGCGATCAGGAAGCCACGCGATGCGCCTCAGAATGCTCGATTTCACTCCCCCCTTCAATATCCATTGCACTTTGCAGATGAAAGTAATCCAAACAGACAGACCCTTTCCCTGAGGAATTTGCGTTGCAAGTGCTCACTGTGATCGCACAGGTAGGAGGGGGCAGAGGAGCCTCAGCTATTGGCGGTACATCAATTAATTAATACAGGAGGCAATGCACAGGCAACCCCCTGTTTTGGGATACGGGCTAGGGTAGCAGTCACGGAGAGGTTGAGCCCTTCCGCCGTTCTCCAGTCCTTCAGGGCTTTTTGCGGGCCTTTCTCAGGCCTGACAGCTGTTTCTGATCGGACCTGACAGCTGGAGTTTGCCAGCATCGGCGTGGGCCGAGCCGCGGCAGGCTCTGACAGCTGCATTCCCCACTGGAATTCACCTACTCCCTTCAGAAAGCCCTTCCTGAGCTAGCATGTGCCGGCAGTTCTCCTTTCCCACCGCCACCCCCGCCTCCCTGCCTGGCCATTGGAAATGGATGGCCTGGTGCAGCCGTGTGTCAACTTCCTTTGTGTCACATAAGTCGAGTTGCATGCACAACACCGATTTTAATAATCCGTAGTTTCATGAGGCCACGTGCCTCTTTCTGCACAGTGCGGGGACGTTGGGTATCATGCTCGGAGCTTCAGGTCTGGCGCAATCCACTTGCCTTTTGGGGAGAAGGCTGCAAGAACCCTTTTAGGAAGGCCTTCCATTTCTGTGCTGCCCACAAGCAAAGCCCTCTGCAGGGGCAGCCTGTTAAGAGAACCGGGGCTCCTGACTCAGGGCCTTGTTAGCCTGTTCAGTAAACCGTCCCCAATCCAAGAACACATGGCTCTCCGTTGTCAGACAAAGGACTGCTCTTCTCAGCCTCTCCGCAACATTTCCTCAGGCCCCTTGGATGGATTGTGAAGACCCCCAGTGGCCTGCACACCAGGATTTAAGACCTTCTGGCTTAAAGTGATAATACTTGGCACATGAGCACATTCATACTTTCTGATACATCATGCCCCCTGGCTGAAAGGGGCAAGTCCTCTCCAGAAGTGGCCAGTGAAGATTGTCCATGCTCAGGGGCACTGAATCCTGACCGCTTTGGCAGAGACCAGAGGGAGGGAAACAGGAGGGGAAGCGGGAATGGAATGGAGCCTCCTCAGAGAGGGCATGGCCAGCTGGCGTTCTCCCTGTCCACAGTCCTTGAGCTGCAAAACAGACGTGCGGACTCTCCCTTGCTGAATGTCTGTAGGGAGTGCTGAATGTGGCTCCCACCGCCGCCATTGCCCCAGTCAGCCTTGCCATGCAGGCCGAGGGTTATGGGTGTCGTACTCCAGCTCAGGAGGAGCCCGGAGGGCTACATCACGCCTTTCCAACTTCTACGGCCCCTTCTGCCTTCTTCCAAGATAACTCGCCTGCTCTTTTCCAGGGCTGGTGAAAGCAGAGGACAAGGCGAAAGCACACCGAGCAAAGAAGCTGGAGGCAGCCCTGAGCAGCAACGACGAGCAGAAAAAGAAGCCGCTGGGATCCAGCGCGAAGAAGGAGGCGGCGCCGACAGCTGCGGCAGCTTCCTCGACAACAGGTGGGACGGTGGGCTGGGGGCTGGGCTCTGCACAGGCCTCTGAAAAAGCGTCTTTGGACTGTGGTGCCATTTCCCCAAAGACCTGGTGCCCACCAGGTGCTTTGGGCTACAGTTCCCACTGGCCAGTGGTGATGGGAGTTGTAGTCCAAAACACCAAGAGGACATCCAGGCTGCCTGCCAGGTTGATGTGTCTCTGCAGATACTTTCTCCGGTGCAAGATTTTTACGCATGTGGCACCTGAAAGTGTGAATGTTCTGCACAGGTGTTTGTAGACGCTTCACACAAGTGAGCCTGAAGGATAGGTTTCGAGCGCGCAAGTGGAAGTTTTAACCACTCCCTGAGAAGGCCACCGCTTGTGTTTCTGCGTTAGTCCCCAACTTGCGTGCCTCCTGTTTGGAAGGTTGCAAGCCCAGGTCGGCAAGTCACGTAGAGACGAGACAGGCAGCCTCTTTGGACGGAGGGTCGAGGGTTTTTGCCTCCCAGCCGCATGGGTGAAATTGGAATTTTTACAGGAGAGCCGTGGCAGAAATGCCTCTCCCACAGAGGCAGCTTGGCAGGAAGTAGAAACAAGTTTCTAGCTCTTATGATGGTGGAGGTTAAGGTGTGAGCAGCACTTGGGAAAATCTGAGAAGCCAGTTGGAGGCTACGTGGCCTTTCTGCGACCTGGAATGAGGCTTCAACACTGAGCCTATTTTCTGTAGGACCAGAAACTGCAGAATAAATTAGGCAAAAACAGGCAAGTTCTGATAAATGGCTTCAGTGTAGCTTTGCATAGATAGGGATCATGCCCCCTGAGCTTACCATGCAGGTGTTTGACCAAATTTCATTTGGCACCGCAACGAGAGCACACAGGGAGCAACCCAGGTTAGCATTACACAAGTCTTACGTCAGTTGGCACGGACATCTGAATTGCCCTCTGTTAGTGCGGTGGCCAGAGAGCTGGGCTCAGCTGTCTGAGGCTTGGGCTGGAATCGCTGCCCTGCTGTTCACATTTGGAGAGAAGGGGCTGCAGTCTAGGCCCAGAGCTGGCTGGAGCGAGATGCGCATTGTAGGACCCTCTCTTCTTTCTAAACCTGCATAGGATTTCCCCGGAATTAACTGGCAACATATTCAGGACAGACACACAGTACATGATGAATTAAAGTTTCAATAATAAGTAAGTTTAGACAGAAAAAGTCTTACGTTTCCTGTGAAGCACCAACCGTTGTAAGCCCTCCTTCTGTCTAAACTTGTACTGGATGTGCCTTTAGTACTCAAAATCAAAAGTAAACAGCAGGAATGGCACCGGTTGTGAATGGCATGCTCTTTTACACGGCTGTTTTCCAGCAGCGTGCATGGAACAGCTGAAGAAACCCAGCCTACTTGCTCTTTCTGGCCTGGGATGTGTGTATTTTGTGACTGACACTTGGCCGCTCTCTGCCTCCAGCTTCAAAAAAGGAAAACGCAGCTTGTTTATAGCTTAGGGCAACCTTGCCCTTGGGGCTCTCCCAATATGTTGGACTACACCCCCATCACTGCCTCTGGAGGCTGCCAAGTCAGGGAAGGCTGATTTAGGGGTTGTGTGGATTGCCTCTCAGATCAGCGCTTTTGGATGTTCCATCATTGGCGATTAAGATGTCTGGAGCCAGTCTGGGAGCCAAACAAAATCACGCTTCTCTGGGGATCTCTCTCCTGGCTCGAGGAAGGCAGGATGTTCCAAGTAAACACAGCTGCAGCCTTTTCCAGCTGATCCACGTTCCCAGCTTTTCGGATCATGGATTGCTGTGAGGCTGCTCAACTAAACTCCTCAGCAGGCCTCACTTTGGCCTAGTCCGCTGCGTGCGACGGGAGCAAGGCCAGGCCTGTGTTTGCTTGTGAGATCACAACAGCTTGGCCTCTTGTGGCTTTTGGCTTCACGTTGTGCCATTTCGATAAACACCCACCCCCCCACCAGTCGTCAGGAGTCGGACGATGGCTGCTCATACCTGTTCAGGCTGGGGCATGCTGGGAGTTGCAGGGTGTTTTCTGCCCAAATGTGCAACGGATCAGGCCCTTATTGGGTCTCCTGGAACTTGGTGTGAGAGTTTTTCAAACAACAGTAAGCATAGTGGAGTATGTCCCGAACTGGGCTAAAATGGGGTGGCATAGAAGCTTTCTTTCTAAATAAAAAAAGCTTTCTAAATAAAATTCAAACTCTAGCACCCCTTTCCAGTTCTCATGGAATCGCTGTCTTTAAAACCTGTAAAACGATCCGGTTGCACGGGTGCAAGAGCACTGCTTTGTCTATGTCCCCTTGCAAAATTGCTGCCTTTAGAAAAATTTCTGTTGCAGCAGCAAATTTGGAAGCAGTTTCAGCCCTGATCTCCAGAACTTGCCAGTCTTTGTTCCAGGGAGAAGTGAGGGGCTCCATTTCGGGCTTCGAACTGCACCTCCTGCTTCCTTTAAGCATTATATGCACAGAGAGGGGTTTGCCTCCATCGCGTGTAACTCACAGCGCAGTGAGATTGACCATGTTTCCCTGAAAATAAGACTGGGTCTTGTAGTTTTTGCTCCAAAAGACACATTAGGGCTTATTTTCAGGTGATGTCTTATTTTCTTTTTTTTTACGAAAGCCGTAAGATTTTTGCCCCGAGAGTCCTCCACAATTCCTGTCTTGTACTCGACGGAATAGCTTTCTTTCTGCACTCTTCTTGTTTGGGGGTCAAAATATTATTCCCTTTAAATCTACCATTAAATCAAGTGTTAATTGAAGATTTACGAGACAGGAGTGGCAACACACGAGTGCATTAAGTACGTGCGTTACAACACATGATGTATTGAATTATGAAACACACCCGTTCGTTATCAAGTGCGTTGTGTCTGTGCTCCACTTGGTTGTTTGGCAATAAGTCTCAAGTTCATCCGATTACATAGGCGTTTACCTCTCGTCCAAAGGCACCTGCTTGGGTATTCTCAAATAATTATAATTTATATTATCATTTATTTTAAGTATTAATGTCAATATTATTATTTATATTGAATCATATACTAATATTATTATTTTATAATTCAATACAGCCCGTCATGTGTTGCAACAGATGTGCTAAATGTGTCCGTCTGGCCGACAATCTTAACTGGGGCTTATTTGGGGGTAGGGTTTATATTACGAGCATCCTGAAAAATCATGCTGGGGCTTATTTCCGGGGAAATACGGAAGCTCTGGGCGTGAGGTGAAGTTGGCCTTGGTGGGTGCTGGCCTTCCTCCTGCCTGAATACTGATTGATCTTTCCCCTTCTCCAGCGAGCCCAGAAGAACTGTGGCAGCGTACAATCAATGAGAAAGGAGAGGTTGCCTGCCCAACCTGCAGCATGATCACCAGGAAGACGATTCTTGGTCTCAAGAAGCACATGGAAGTCTGCCAAAAAGTAGGGGAACACCCACTCCGAAATTAGCAATGGCAAATAGGAGACAAACAAGCAAACCTCTCCCCACCGTGTGTGTCTGCCTTCGCGCCCGCCTCCAAGAATTCCGTCCCTAAGCTCCTCATTTAGAAACATACAACAGAGCGAGTCAGAAGGGACCTCCCGGGCCATCTAGTCTGACCCCCGGCTCCAGCCGGCTCCGCTCACGACACACCCGCCATGTGCATGTCTAGCCTTTCTTTGAACACGGATGGGGTGAGGGTGGGTAGGGGTCATTCTGTATCCCTACTCGCCCTGTATGAGAAGGGGTTGCTTCAGTTCCTTTTGAGGGTAGGAGATGTAACCCTCGCTCGCTGCTGCTGCCCGCCATGGTTAATCCCCCAGAATGCCCTTAAATAAGACGGTGTCCAGGGCATTCTGGGGGATGAGAAATGGTGGGTGGTGGCTCTGAAGAGCCAAGGTCAGCGCTGGGGACATTTCCTGCCCCTGTTCCTGAAAATTCAGCCCAAGATACAAAGGAAGAGGGGGGATTCCAGTGCCCTGCACTTCCTGTCACTGTGAGCTCCTCTGCCCAGCTTCAGTCTGTGGCGGAAGCCTGGACCTGCGTGACTTTGAGATCTGTGGGGCGGTTTGCAACCATGCAGCAAAGGGGCTGCTAATCTGGTTTCCCCTGCCAGATTCTTGGGCTGGCTCCTGACAAGGGCAAAGGCCAAATGGCAGTGGGGGTATTGGACCACCTGATGCTCCATTCGACCAGTAGCCCTCTGGCCAGACTGCTTGCCTTCCCCTTACGGGTTCTCCTCTTCAGTCTAACCCTGCCCTCCTTTCCCAGTCTCTTGCAAGAACTTGGACTAGAATTCCAGACTGTGCCTCAGAGGTTGCGCCTCCATATTAGCCATCGCAAGCACGGAAAGTGCTCCAGCGCGCGTACCCCGTTCCTATTGCAGAAGAACAGCTGTGAAATATGCAAACCCTAACTTTGCTGGGGTTGAACGTCATGTTTTCATCCTGTAAAACAGCCATGTGGCCATAAGGAAAAATACCTCCAAAATCCTTGTTAGGGGAATACCTTTATTTATTAATTATATAGCCTGCCTTTTTTTCCTGCAAGAAATCCAAGGCAGCTTACATAATCCTTCCCTCCTTCTCTGTTTTGTTCCACAACAACCCTGTGAGGTAGGTGAGGTTGAGAGTCAGCGAGTGCCCCAAAGTCACCCCTTGAGCTTCACTTCTTAGTGGGGACTGGAGCTCTTGTTTCCCGAGTTCAGCAGTGCAGCTGCTGTGCTCTTCCGGCCCTCCACCTTACTGAATCGAAGAGCAAAACGTGCCAGTTTGGATCCCTTCATTGAGAAGGGTGTTACACAAGCAGGTTTGAAGAGGGCAAGAAGGAAAGACTGATGATACTGAAGTTCGTGTGATCAGAAACTTGACAAGGAATGTGGCAAAGGGCTGGAGAGTTGCTGATATTCAGAGAAATGCCAAAGGTGATGTAGTGAATTCAGCTCATTTTTAAAAATATAAAATGCATCTGTTACGCTTCCATCTTTGATGTCGTGTTTTTCCTGTTTGGATTCTGGGCCAAGAAGGGGAAGGGAAGGGAAGGGAAGGGAAAAGGCCTACCATGTGCGCAGGCTTCCGCACCTGAAATTCAAACCTTGAGCCTCTGCCTGCTTTGCTCAGTTGCAGGATGCCTTGAAATGCCAGCACTGCAAGAAGCAATTCAAGTCCAAAGCTGGGCTGAATTATCACACCATGGCTGAACATGTCAACAAGGTAAGGCACACAATCTCCTCTCTGACTCTGCTGCTGTGAAGCAGCCTTCTGGGTCCCGAGGAAGTCCTGGTTTCATCAACTAAAAGTGGAGCTGTTTGCATGTTTAGGCTGTAACATGCATGCTGGGAGTTGTAGTCTTCCGTTTCTAAGCGCATCAGATTGCGCCTTCAAACTGTGCGAGTGGGCCCTGCAGCAAAATGTTGCAGCATGAGGTCCTGCTTTTCAGCATTCAGTCTATGCCTGCCTTCCCCTCCTCCAAGCCTCCTGTCCCCCACTCCTCCCAACTGCCAGCCCCTGTTCAGGGGGTGCTCACGTGCTCTGTCCTCACTGGGCTGTTTGCAGGGGACTCCTCCCCCTTTGGGGTTTTCTGCCCTTCAAAATTTGCGTGGTGCCACAATGCTTGAGGTATCTCCGGCTCTGCCAATACCTCCCTCTTGCGCTTGGCTGCAGAAGCAAATGGTCCTCTGTGCATGCACACGGGGAGTGCGGATGTTAATAAAATAAAAAAAAATAAAACTCCATCTAGTGACGGTACAAATGGCGAGCCCAACGCTCCATTGGCTCTGCTGTGCATTAGAACGAGCTTCCACAAAAGGTGTGTCTGGCACCTGCTTTCTATTCTTTTCCATGCCAGGTGACAACCTTCTTTTCCCAGCATTTATTTATTTATTATTTATTAAAACATTTCTATGCCGCTCCTTGCGGGGCGGCTTACAACACAATAAAATACAAAAATAACAATATAAATTTAAATTAACAATATAAAATAAATAAACAATATAAAAGAAGTCGCCCTGCCCAGATAAATAAGCAAATATTGTTAACAATTAAAATGATGTTTAAATAAAAAGGTCTTCACCTGGCGCCGAAAAACAAATAACGACGGTGCCAGGCAGCAGTTTAGCTTCTTAACTTGGTTTTTATATCTTGCATTTTATTCCGTGCAGCTGCTATGCTTCTGTGCTGATTCAGTTGCAATCACTGCTATAGTTCTGTGGTTTCAAGTTAATTTTTGTTTGCTTGTGTGTCTTCTTTAATTTTTGTTTAATTTAACTTTTGTTAACTGCCCAGCGAGCCTCGGGTATTGGGCGGTATAAAAATGGGGTGGGTGGGTGGGTGGGTGGAAGAGCTTCCTGAGAATAGGACGTTGCATGGCAGATGTCCGCACAGCGCCATATAGGCTGTTGGATAACGCTACGCCCTGTCTTGCTCCCTTCTGTCCAGCCTGTACCTGTGGAAACCACGATCCCGCTGACCGAACACGAAGAGCGCGAGAGGCTGAGAAGGGTGCTGAAGCAGATGGGGAAGCTAAAATGCCCCAACGAGGTATTTAATTATGCCCTTTGCAAAAATACTCGCATGTTTTATATTCTTATTCTTATTTATTTATGTAAGCCGTCCTGAGGCTCTGCGAAAGGACGGCATATACATATTCTAATTAATTAATTAATTAATTCACGGATATCGGTAAGAAATATTCCGCTGTGCCCGGGATGGAAACAGTTGCACTTGGAGAGAAAGGGCATTTCAGCTCAGAACCTCGTTTGCTGAACCCTGGTTGAAGCAGGGTGCACAGCCATGCCAGCCTTCCTGAACCTGGTGTCTGCCATGCTGGCTGGGGAGGATGGGGATTGTAGTCCAGACCATTTGGAGAGTGCCTAGTTGAGGATACCTCTCCATATTTCCAGGCCAACATGGATCCGCCATCCTGCGCTTTAGGGTTTGTAGGTATCAGGGTGGACAATTTGTGCCGCCCTGATCTTTCAGCCAACAACTCCCATCAGCACTAGCAGCGCAGACACTGAGGAGGGATGATGGGAACTGTAGTAAAAACATCTGGGGACCACCAATTGCCCATTCTGATCTATTCAAGGCATTGTGTGGCCAACTGTGAGTACAGTTGTCACGTAATTTTTCCTGGCATTTAATTGCTCTATAAGAAGGGAATTATGAGAAATAAATGCTCCCATGTGCATTTAATTGCCTCATAAGAGGCAGAGGTTGCCCGAAAGGGTTCCCTCTAGGCCTTCTCCATCTGAGTGTCCAGCCTTTTTGGACTTGAGCTCCCAGAATTCCTCACTGTTGGCCATAGCAGCTAGGACTGATGCGCTGAACTCCCAAAACATCCAGCAGGTGCTAAGTTGGGGAAGGCAATGCCAGCACCTTCTAACTTCCACCAGCATCTTTGCAGCAATTTTTCTGCTGGCTCCCATTTTAAAAAGTGGAACTGTCACTTTTGCTGACAGTCAGATGTGTTACCTGGAAGTTGAGATTTAGGAGACAACCATGTCAGTTCATTTTTTTAACATCTGGATTTACCTGGTTTGAACCTCCTGGGCTGACCGTGGACTCAGACTTAATCTGCAGTTTGGTCCATACATATCCTAGCTCAATGTAATGCACAGACTGAAAGCATGTGTATCTTTAGAAAATGCATGAAAAATGTGCACAACTTGAAAAAATGCACACCAGTACCTGCACACAAAAAATGCACAAAAATGCATGCATTTCACAGGCAAGCATAGTTGATGCGCAGGCCTAGGAAAAGAGTCACACAAATATGGATAGATTTTCAGGGGGAAAGAAGAAGAGCAAAACTGTTCTCTGGTTTAGGCTTGGATTAGAACGGGCATTGTGATGGGTTTGAGAAAACCACAGTGAGCTTGGCCTTTGATCATTTGTGTGTCCTATTTGTGAACTTGGTTGCATTGCTGCCGAGCCATCCCAGCCTGTGCTTCCATGTTTTCTGCAGGGGTGTGTGGCTACATTCTCCAGCCTCATGGGGTACCAGTACCACCAGAAGCGGTGTGGGAAGCAGCCGTCCGAGGTGGAGAAACCAGTCTTCAGCTGCCCACACTGTGGGAAGACTTATAAGTCGAAAGCTGGGCATGACTACCACTTGCGCTCAGAGCATCCCCCTATGGTGAGTTATGCTCTGGGCTTCTCCCTGTACCCATCATTCATTGCTGTGGTTGATGGTTAGCCAAAGGCACGCTTTTTGCAAAGCGCTTTGCTGCCTTTACTGACCTGTATTAATCTTTTCATGAATGACATGGAAGAAGCGGCGACCAGTCTGCTGATCAAATTCGCAGATGGCACTAAAACTGGGGCAGTGGCCACAACTGAGGAGCAGGTACTCCAGATCCAAAAGGATCTGGACAGACTATGGAAGTGGGCAGGCGACAACAGGATGGCGTTCAATGTGGATAAGTGCAAGGTCTTGCACTTGGGGCATAGGAATAGCTATCATAAGTACAGGTTGGGGGACAAGTGGCTGGAGAGCAGCACTTGTGAAAGGGACCTCGGGGTGCCGGTTGACTGCAGGCTGAACATGAGTCAGCAGTGTGATGCGGTGGTCAAGAGGGCGAACGCCACCCTTGGATGCATAGCCAGAAGTGTGGCTTCTAGATCGAGAGAGGTATTACTACCACTGTATACAACTTTGGTGCGCCTGCAACTGGAGTATTGTGCTCAGTTTTGGGCCCCTCATTACAGAAAGGATGTAGCCAGGTTGGAGTCAGTGCAGAGCAGGGCCACAAGGTTGGTGGCCGGTTTGCAGGGGATGCCGTATGAGGCGAGACTGAGGGAACTGGGTCTCTTCAGCCTGGAGAAGAGGAGACTCCAGGGGGATATGTTGGTGACACACAGGTATGTGAGGGGATGTCACACGGAGGTGGGTAGAGGCCTGTTCTCCCCTGCAGAGGAAGGCAGGACGCGCCCCAACAGAGCAAAGCTCAGGGAGCCCAGGTTCCATTTGGATGCCAGGAAGCACTTCCTGACAGTCAGGACCCCCAGGGTGTGGAATGGGCTTCCACGGGAGGTGGTTGAGGCCCCATCAGTGCAGGTGCTCAAGGATAGGCTGGACGTGCACATGGTGGGCATGTCATGAGCAGAGCCAGCTGGAGCCGGGGGTCAGACTAGATGGCCTGGGAGGCCCCTTTTGACTCGCTCTGTTTCTGTTTCTGTGTATTTGTGCTTCCAGTAACCCTGTGAGGTAGGACTAATGCACAGCAAGGTGACACAATACATCCCTGTGAATCCCCATGCAAGAATTGGGCCTGCTTTTCTTGAAGCACAGCGTGCCAGGGAAGAAATTCAGCCTGGAAAGGTGACCTAGACAAAGGAAGGAAGGAGTTGGAAGGAATGTGTTCCTGAAAAGTCAGGGTTAAGGATTGAGATTAGTCAGGCGCCTGCTGAGAACCAAACCATCCCTGGTTCAGGCAGGGACACTCGAGAACAAGGAGGATCTGAGGGGGATGAGTCTGAGTGCATCGACTCTGGGATACATCATCAAACCAAGCAAACAGACCAGTTAAGTAATTGTCATGCCTTACGGCTCGACAGAGGCATTGGCGTGTGAGAGAGGGCCAGGGGCTCGCCATGAGAGTCAGGCGTTGGAACAGGGAGATTCCTACGTGGTGCCCAGGGCCCAGGTGACCCCCCTGCAGCCCGATTCTGAGGCTTCCTCGTGAGTAGCCTCCCCACATCCTGGCTCTGAGTTGTTGGAGCAGGGTGCAGCTCCCCTTCCTGGAGACTCCGAGGTGTTTGAGCAAGTCCCCCCCCCCCCCCCCCCAGACTCTGAAGCTGCTGGGCTGAGTCCTAGAGAACAGGAAGACGTAACAGGAAATTTACGAAACGCTCAGCTTCGGAGAAGATTACGGAGAATAGACCAGTTGGAAAGGCAGGGGAGAAGTTTGTCCCACCCACGGACAGAGAAACGGGAGAGGCGTTTGAGGTCCACGTGACTTTAGCCTTCTTAGTTCAGAAAGGAGTGGGCAACTGAGCTGCTAGGAGCTCGTTGCCAGAGCTTATCTGTTGCATCGTAAATCTTGTAGCAAATAGCAATAAAAGCCTTTAGTTTTATTGCCGGCTGCTGTGTGAGTTAATTGGAGACGTGAGTTACGGCCTCACGACAGTAAATGTCCAGTGTTCCTGCTGTCTGGCCCTAAGCAATGCGAACCTCCCTAGGTTGAAATTTTTATTTTTTTTTTTTAGGTTGAATTTTTTTATTTAAATAAAAACATATTGAACCCAGGTTCCCCAAGTCCCAGTCTAACCACAGTGCCACAGGGGGAGGGAGTTAAAATAACAGGGAAATGAAAGCCGAATGGGAGTCAACGTGTTGCCATGTTCTGAGACCCGGATACTACCTTGGGCCAGTCACTGACACTCACACAGTTGTTCTTGGGGAAAATTTATTTTTTATTTTTTATTTTATTTATTCTTGGGGAAAAATGGGGGAAGGGGAATTGGGTGAGGAATCTTGGGTTCCTTGCAAGAGGGGAAAAGGCCGAATATGCATGCAATAATAAATAAAATGTAAACGTGGAGTAATAAATGCTCTGCTTCTGCCATACAGCTGTGAATGTTGCCCCCCCCCGCCCCGAGCACCCGATGTAGCTTCCAAGCTCTTTTGAGTAGGCCCTCCCAAACACTGGCGTGGAAGATTTCTTCAGCAGCCGCTGCATCTGTCTTTGTACTGGTGACTGTGCCCTTTTCTGTTGTCTCAGCCTCCTCAGAAGCAGGAGACGAAACCTGAAGCCAGCCTGGTGGAGGATTTTGAAAGGACCCCGAGCGGCAGGATCCGCCGCACGTCTGCCCAGGTGGCTGTCTTCCACTTGCAGGAAATCGCCGAGGATGAGCTGGCCAAAGACTGGACCAAGCGGAGGATGAAGGACGACCTGGTCCCTGAGACGAAGCGGGTGAGAGCCTGTGACTCACCGAGCCAGTTTGGAAGTGGGGTGAACGGTTAGGGTGGAAACCAGGGCTATGGGCTGAGGAACCAGGCCCAGGTGAGCTGTACCGGCCCTCCACAGCTTGGTGCCCTCCAGATCCATTGGACTGCAGTTCTCAGCCTAGCTGGCATGGGATTCTGGGAGCTGTAGTCCAAAGCGGGCTGGTCTACACGTTCACATCAGCTGGGTCCCTCTTGGTAGCTGGTTCTTGCTGAGCTGGGGAGCAGAATGCTGCCTGTAGTCATGATACATGCAAGGGCTCTTCTAGCAAACCCATGATGTTTGTCCGATGCATAATCCAGCCATGCCCTGCTGGATGCTAAGGAGGTATCTGCAAAGGCATCAGTGCTTTTTCTTCTGCTGAGTGAGCTCAGCTTCACACATCCCTTCTATCTCCAAACGAAACAAGGCCCTTGGGCCTCTATCGAGTGAAACATTTTCTTCAGTTTATTTAAATTTGTGCATGCAGAAGGAAGCCAGTTGACTCAATTTGTGCTTGGTGGGTTGGTAAATGAAGTCTCTTTTTAAAGTTGTTGAAACAAACATGGATTGCTGTGGAGAAGGGAGTGCTTTTCATAAAGGACAGCCAGTCAGCACCTGGCTGCAAACGGAAATAATGGGGCTCATTCATGTTTGGTGCTTCAGAGATGGCTGTGTGTGGAGTACCAACGTGGAGTGTGATTTCCTGGTTGCTTTTCCATTTAATTTGCCTAGAAGCTTCCATTGCTAGAAAACCTGATGCTTTACATCAGGGTTGCTGAACCTTCTGGGGAAAATCTCGGGGCCGGATTCTAGTGATAGGTGGGACCAAAGGGGTGGAGGCAAAGGGTAAAAGGATGTGGATAAATCCCAGCCTATTTTTATTTAAAGCTCTGTCTGCCGATAATGAAGCCTTAGAAAAGGCATTTTGAGCTGACAGAATGGGGAATGTAACTGCACAATTCAGGCCTGACCTTCCCAGTCTCCTGAGGACTTGAAGTCCTGGTTGCAAACTTTGGTAATGAGGACAATCCTGGTTAGCTTGAACCAAGGTTAGCACCAATGCCTAGCATTATACATTCATTCATTCATTTATTAAAACATTTTTATGCCGCCCCATTCACCGAAGCCTCAGGTCGGCTTACAACAATAAATAAAAGTAATTATAATATAAATTACAATAAATATAAACATTAAAAATACAAAAATACAATATAAAATAAGCCGCCCTGGCCAGATAAGATCAAGTAATACTAACAGTTAAAATGCCGCTTAAATAAAAAGGTCTTCACCTGGCGCCGAAAAACAAATAATGACGGCACCAGGCGGACCTCTCTGGGGAGCGCATTCCATAACTTAGGTGCCACCGCAGAGAAAGCCCTCCTCCGAGTAGCCACCCTCCTAATTTCTTTCACGGAGGGTTCCCGGAGAAGGGCCTCTCCCGCCGATCTCAAGGGGCGGCCGGGCATATATGGATGTAAGCGCTCCTTCAGGTAACCAGGACCCAAGCCGTTTAGGGCTTTATAGGTCATCACCAACACCTTGAATTGGGCCCGGACTTCAATGGGAAGCCAGTGAAGCTGTCGGAGGACTGGAGTCATGTGAACATAATGCCCAGTCCCCGTCAGCAACCTGGCAGCTCTATTTTGAACCAACTGAAGTATCCGGACCGTCTTCAAGGGTAGCCCCACATAGAGCGCGTTACAGAAGTCAAGGCGGGAAGTCACATTATATATTATACATATATATGATTAAAGGGGAGAATTCTAATAGGACTGGTGAAAATGGGAGAGTTGGAAAGGAGGAGGATGCTCCCAAACTATTAGCTGGCTTGAGAGATCTGGATGGGTAAGAGATCGGGAGGGATCTGTTCCTCAGGAAATGGTGACATCCATGAACACCTCTTGCTTGTTTGGCAGCTAAATTACACCCGTCCTGGTCTTCCGAAGCTGAATCCTACACTCCTGGAGTCCTGGAAAAACGAAGTGAAGGAGAAAGGCCACATCAACTGTCCCAACCACGTAAGTCCTGAGTTTTCCATAGAGTTTCTTCCTGAGAGGTGGGCTTCCTTCTCCCAAACGGCTTTCCAGAAGGGCACCCTTTTCCTCTGCAATGGATCTCTCCGGAGGTAGAGAAGATCTGAGTGTATGGTAGGCAATGGCCGTAACACTACAGATAACATATGGATGAAGAAAGTGCAAAAGCAGGACTGCAGCTGAACACCAAGAAAACAAAAATCGTGATGGCAGAAGAATTGTGGAACGTTACTGTTAACAGTGAAGAACTTGAGATCATGAAAGATTTTGTATCAGCTCAGTCTTCGTTGCAAAGGGAGGCTGCAACCAAGAAATTAGGAGGATGGAGGCTTGGAAGGAAAGATGGTCAGATGTAAGGATGTTCACCCGAGACCAAGGCCACGATCGTCCACACTCTTATATGCCAATCACAGTGTCTGGGTGTGAAAGCTGGGCAGGGAAGGAAACTGGCAGGCAGAAGATGGATGCATTTGAAAGACGGCGCTGGAGGAGAGCTTGGCAAGTACCCTGGACTGGCAGAAAGACGAACAAATGGTTCCTAGATGAAGTTAAGCTGGAGCTTCCCTATTGGCAAAAATGGCAAGTACTTTGGACACATCATGAGAAGGCAGGACTCCCTGGAGAAGACAATCGTGGCAGGGAATTCAAAGGCTGAAGATGAAAGGGAAGCCCAAATCGGAGATGGGTGGAATCCATAAAGGAAACCACAAACTTGGAAGAGCTGAATGGAGCAGATGTGGACAGGATACGGGGATGTGAACCTGGAACATCTTCTAGGGACTCATTTCCCAGTGCTCGTCACCCGGCGGAGCAGCAGGTTGACTAGAATCCCAAGCCGCCAGTACAAAGATAACCCGAATTCCCATCACCACAGTGATGACAGGTGAGCTTGGCAAAGCCAGCTGGTGGGTGCAATGCTGCCATCCCATCCCATCCCATCCCATCCAGAAGGACCGGGGGAAGAGCTCACACGGTGGGCTTGGCTTAAAGCACCAGTCGTTCTCCAGATGTTTTGGCCTCCAACTCCCATGACCTTTACCCGTAGCTATGCTCCCCAGGGCTGATGGGAGCTGTAGGCCAAAGGATCTGGTGGGCCACCAGTTGCCCACCCCTGGCCACCCAAGGCCAAGGGGGTCTTTGCTGCGGCTTCTGAAAATTCCGTGCCATTCCTCATAGATCACCTTGTGACTCCAGCCACCGCGCCATTCCTGGCAGGGGATCTTTGCTCAGCCAGAATGGCCCCTACAACAACATCCCCCTATAAGCACCTCAAAGGCCATCACAAAGAGGAAGGTCACGGTCTCTTCTTGCTGATGCCAGACTGTGGGACACGGAATAATCCACTCAAGTTGCGGCAACCCACATTCAGGCTGGACATCAGGAAAAGCTTCCTCACTGTCAGAGCAATGCGACAGTGGGGCCAGCTGCCTGGGGAGGTGGGGGGCTCTCCCACACTGGAGACATCCAAAATCAAACTGGACAGCCCTCTGAGTGGGATGGTGGGAACTGGTGTCCTGCAATAGCAGGAAGTGGGCCTTCTTGGCCCCTTTCGACCCTACTATTCTGTGATTCTATAAACAGAGATAACCGGGATGTGGCTACCCTCCTTTATTCCCAGTCTCGTGAGCAGGAAAATCATGCCCTGTCCTAATTAAGGGGAAAACGGCATGGATGTTTCAATCCAAGGGGGTGCAGTCAGAGGAGTCGTGTTTTCAGGTTGCGCGTGAGCAGACCGAGTCCCTTGGTGGCCCTTGCACTGGATCTTCACAAGACGCCAGGCACCTTCAGCTTTCCAAAAAGGAGAAGAACACGCTGGCCAGCAAGCGGTACATCTCTGGAGCACACGCTCCTTGTCTGTGGTTCACTCTCTGCAGTGTGCTGAGCCAGTAGAGAGCCAGCAAAGCATATCCTCTCCCCCAGCTGGTTCAATGGAGCGCCTGCCAGCCCAGAAGTACGTGCTGGCATCTGTTACGTTGCTGCTGGTCCAGGCAGCATCACTGGGCCAGTGGCTGTGCGTGAGGCATTCCGAGCCGGCCACCCGCCCGCCTGCCAGCCTCCCTGGGCCAAAGGGGCTTCCCTGGGGCACCCGTGTGATGACACAGATGTCTGGAGCATCCTTCCAGGGCGAAAAAGGCTGCGAGGAGCAGGGGCATTCCAGAGCCAAGAAGCCGCTTCAGGTCTGCTGCCCATTCCCTGGAAATCAGCGCAGCCCGTGCCTAGTCAGGAGCCTCCGCAAGGCCTGTGCGGCTTCTGAGCCAGGCCGTCTCTTCAGGTTTCCTAAGGTGTGTGCAGAGAGGAGGTTTGGGGATGGTGCAGAAGCTTCTGGGGCTTCTTCCAGTGTTGGCCAGAATCCCGCTGAGCTCAGCTGTTGGGTGGCATAGAAATTAAATAAGTACATGAAAGCAATCCAGATAACTAGCTGGCCAAATGCATCCTTTGGTCCTGCAAGAGGAGTTTGTGTCATCTCTGCCAGGGCACCCCCCTCGTCAGTGAAGTGTCTTCATACCCTGGACGGAGGAGGTAGTGGGATGTTACGCAGTGTGGAGATGAGTGGTTATTCCTTAGCTGGGGTGTCCAGCCCCACAGCAGCTCGGCTGGGAAGGACTGGGCTCCTGGCCTGAAGATGTTGGCTACCTCTCATCGACAGGAAAGGCTTCCTTCCGACGCGTGAGCAACCTTGCCATGAGTTTGAGAGGTGTGAGTGGGAGGCCTTTGCCAACGGAGCATGCCCCTTCTGGAAAACGGCCAGCGTGCCTGAAACCACCCAGGGACACTCGGCCCAGTTTCCCTTTCAGCAGCCGCTGGGCCCCCCGCTGCCTTCGGATCTCCTCTCACCCAGCAGGACCCCCGTAACTGCCCGGAAACAGCTGTGTTTGAAGGGATGGATTCGGCCTGCCCGGCAGCCTGCCACGGAACTCCCATTATCCTCCGCCTCCGGGGAGGGAGTGGGTGGCAAGGCCCGGTGCTTAGCCGTGTGGTTCAGGCTTGTGCTGAGCTTGCAGAGGAGGGCTTGCGGTAAGTGGCGGGGGGGGGGGCCGGGGGGGGGGGGGGGGGGCTGCAAGCCCTGCTCAGCCTCTGCCTTGCTGTGTTTCCTTCCAGTGCTGCGCAGCCATCTATTCCAGCGTGTCTGGTTTGAAAGCCCACCTTGCAAACTGCAACAAGGTAAGCGTTTCATCGTACCCGCCCACCATTAGGGTCTCCCCCCCCCCCCCGTCTGCAAGAAAATTAAAAAAGGCCCTGGGATTATTGTTTATGTATTTATTAGCTTTACAACCCCCTCTTTTCCTTTCAAGGAACTCAAGGGTGCTTACCTAGGTCTCCTCCCGCCACCATCTTATCCTCACAACAGCCCTGCGAGGTGGGTTGGGCTGAGGGTCTGTGCCTGGCCTAGAGTCGCCCAGTGAGCGCCGTGGCTGAGAGGGGACCAGAACCCGGATCTCCTGGGTCCCAGTCCCGCACTCTTAGCCACCACGCTGCGCTGGCTGCGATAGTTCATAGCATCTCCCCAGGGCCAGAATGGAAGCAGCAAAGGTGCGGAAAGAAAGAACCAAAGAAACGGCCATCCATGCTCTGGCAAAGGTGGGCAGACTCCCCCGAGAACACACCCACTCCGTCTTCCTCCCCTGCAGATTCGAGCCTCACCTGAGCCCAGTGTCTTGACCCTCTGTCTGGGGAGCCATGAGGACTTCCTTGGTGCCGACCAGAACGGCTTGTGTCTCCCAGACGACCACTTTGCCTTATGGCGGCCCAGCCCTGCCAGCTACGGTGTTTCAAACTGTGTGAGGATGGCCCCAATCCAGGGGTGGACAGGCTTGCTTCCCGGAAGAGCCACGGAAGTAAACAGCCAACCTTTGAGAGCCATAGCACCTATTTACTATGACCAAAGCATCCGTCCACAGCCACGCACACACACAGCCGTTCCCTGAGCCAGCATTCGCAGCTGCTCCCCATCCGGCAACAGCCCGCCCCCCTCTGCCCGCCGACTTGGCCCCAATCCCCTCCAATGGGGTACTGCAGGAGTGCCGAGCCCCCCTCGAAATCTGTGCAGGCGCTCCTCTCCTCTCTCGGCCACAGCCTCAGTGCGCTCATGCCCAAGGCCACCCGCACCCCACAGGTGGTGTTTGGAAGCCGCCAGGCTCCTTGGCCCCACCTCCGCTTTGCTGCTGAACCAGTCGGCTCTGGACTGCCGGGCTTTTCCAGCCCCTCTGCAAGCCGCAAAATGCACTCAGAGAGGCGCATGTGGCCGCGAGCCCCAGTCTGGCCACCCTGTTCTAATCCATGGAAGGGACAGGTCCAAATGGAAGTGCATATCTGCAGAATGCCCTTCTCCACAGCTCCCTTTGGGAATCCCAAAGTGCAGCCCATCCTTGCACTAAAGAATGCATGTCACACCTTCCAGGGGTAGGTGGAGGCAAAGAGGAGAGCTCATTTTTCACAAGCTCCAGGATAGCAGAAATCCGGCATTTTAATTAGCTGCTCTGTAACCTAAAGGAGTAATTACGAAAGCTTTATCGATCACATTTGGTCATAAATTAAAGGGAGGCCCAGCTCCTGATAGATGGTCTGTGGTGCAGAATGAAATTGCAGCGTCCCAGGAGGGCTTCATGTCTGGTTGTGCTGACTATGAAGTAGTCAGGGCAGAATTTGGCAGCTGGACCCCAGAGAATCGAGCTCTTTGCCCTCGCTCCACACATGTCTAACGGCAGTGAGAATCTCTTCACATGAGGAGGCCATAGAACTGCCTGCTTGTGCCCAGAGGGCAGCTCTGGTGACCCAGTCGCTCTTGGTCAGAACCGCTTCAGTTAAGAACAACTGCGTTTGTGCCTCTTTAACTCCCCCTCACAGGGGAACACAAAGTCTCCGCAGCTAGAAAACTAGTGTGTCAGAGAAGGCTAGGCTGAAAGATTTGCTGCTGATGTCCGGTTTGTTTACAAAGAGAGAGGTGCTATTTCCCCCTGTACCTATGAAATATCAGGATATTCTGTGTTTTCCCCCGCTGACAGCCTGAAACTGTATAGGCCGAGAAATTAAATAATTTAAATTAAATCAAATGCGCAAGTGTGGTCGAAATTTCCCAGAAGAAGGTTGCAGTAGTGGGGGAATTCACAGGGCTGGCATTTGCTTTGCAGGGAGAACATTCCGTGGGGAAATACCGTTGTCTTCTGTGTCAGAAGGAGTTTAGCTCAGAAAGTGGAGTCAAATACCACATCATTAAGACTCACTCAGAGGTAAGCACTGGGGTTGATTGATGGAGGACTTTTGGGGAACTTTTGCCACAGGAAGGAAGTGGCATTTTGAGAAATCCCCTTGAGGCCCGGAAGGCGGGAGCCAGAATGCAGGTGAGCTTCGTAGGGTTGGCTGAGGTCTCCCCGTTCTCTCTCCTCCTCTTGGCAGCAGGTGTGGGGGCCATGTTTACCAGTGGGGGCAGCTATGAGCGCTTCTTGGCAGTGGCCGGTTGCTGCCCTCCCCACCTGCAAATCCCTCTGGGAATGACGCACCAACCTGGCACTGCAGTCACTGGAAAAGGAAAACTCAGGTCCAGTAAGGCTGCACTAAGCGCTCATCCTTGGGATAAACGAGGGATCAGCATCCCCTTCCTGCCCTGCTTTGGGGTTTCCTGAAGCAGCAGAACAGCTACTGTTTTAATGCTCGAGTAGAGACCTTTGATCAGGGGCTACTAGCCTGGCTGGCCATGGGCTCCCTCCTCCACCAAAGGCGGCCTGCCTGCATGCACCAGTTGCTGGGGAGCTGGGCAGGTGGAGGTCTTGCCCCCATCCTGCCGGAGGGATCCTGGGGCAGCTGTTTTGCCACCGTGTGTGCAGAGTGCTGGGCTGGACGGACCTTATTTATTTATTTATTTATTTATTTATTTATTTATTTATTTATTTATTTAAAGCATTTCTATGCCGCCCCCATCGCAACAAAGCCTTGGGGCGGCTCACAAAGAATACATAAATACATAAATAATAACAATACAACAAATAAAAAAAAATGTTGAAAAAACCCCCAGTGCATTCTTGGCTAAAAATTTAAACTCCTATTAATTAAATAATTTAACAATTAAAATAAGTTTTAAATAAAAACCTTAGGTCTGATCCAGCAGGGATTCTCTGGTATTCTTATGGTCTGATCCCACGGTGTATTTTGCACATGCAAAAGAAGATGTGAAAAAGAACTCGAAATGTGGCCACCGCTTGGATGCTTTGGAAAGGGGGGGGGGTGGAGAGGCGTGTGGAGGACGAGGCATCCTGGGACTGACCAGGTGCAGAAGGTCTCCAGCATCTGTGGGGGAACGTGAGTGGGAGGGTGCGGCTCCACCAGGCCCGTCTGGGACTTCCCTTTGCGGCTTCCACTTGACTGCTGTATCAACGGGGATCTGGACTAGATGGACCTTAGTCCAGGCCAGCATGTCCCTTCTGAACTTCTGAAATGAAGCAGCAGTCTCTGGTGTGAGTCTTTTACTCCCTGGTCCAGATCAGGTCCTTCCCTGGGAGGTCTTGCCCCTGCCGTGCAGCGGAAACACATTTATGCTCACAATACCTGTGCTGAGACTCCGTCGCTGCTTTTCTCCCTTTCCTTCTCTCACACAGAACTGGTTCCGAACCTCTGCAGAGGCCATCCGGAAGAAAAAGAGCAGGGAACAGTCCTCTCCCAGCCACACAGAGGAGAAGAAGAAAAGCACAGATGGGAAAAAACGGGGGCGCAAGCCGAAGGAAAGACTTCCAGAGGCTTTCGCCAAAAGCAAAGAGAGCACGGCTGGAAAGACTAACCATAAAAAAATGACAGGGTCGTGGCAGGCCATGGACTGCAATCCGGATGGGCGCGAGAAAGGTAGCAAGACCTCTCCGAGCAAGAAGGGGGCAGCCCATAAAATGCTGGAGAAATAAGTGGCTGAGAAGAAAGGAAAACTCTTTAATGATCAGTTTACAGCCCAGGGCAATGGGGCGGGGGGGCGACTCCCCGCTCGCCAAGCCCCAGCCCACCTCTGCTCACCCCTTTTTTAAACAAGAAGCCACTTCAAAGCATAATCATGGACATTTGTTTTCGCGTTGGAAAGAAGAAAACAAGCGTGTCGGCCGAGACGAATCTTCTGTTGAGAACCTGCACAGACTGTACATACACCTGTGCTTGTGCGCTCCCGTGCGTTGCACGCTCCATCCATGGACCGGCCGCTAACGAGACGGTTGCTGGTGGGGACCTTCATTCTACTTTTCCTCTTTCATCTGTCCTTGAAACTGACACCAGTTGACCGAGGAAGAGCAAACGGGTGTTGCTTGAGCAAAGGGAGAGCAAAGTGCAATAGGAACCCAGGTGTAAGCTTCTCACACTTCTTTACTTTTGAATTGCCTTTCCGGTAGCAGTCATGTGTTAGGAAATAGAGCTGGTGGGAATTCTATGAATGAATTTATTGTTGTGGTTGTGGTTGAAAACCAGCTTTCTTTGATCATTTTCATAGGAAATGCTTTTTTTTTTTAAAGGAAAGAAAAATCTGATGAGATTGTTAGATGGTGAACATTTCAGAACTTTGATGGTTTCCCAGTCTTCCTTTTCGTTGGTTTTTATATTATTATTTACCCTGATTTGAGTTCTTACAACTGCTTTTGGTGTGCCAGTAGATTGGCAGAGTTGGCACCTCTTTTGGAAGTCATAATTTGGATGTCAAGGTTTTTAAAAATGAGATGTTTTTAGAAAACAACTCTTGGGGATGGAATGGGTGGGGAGGTGTTGGCAATGAGTCTTTTTTTTTTTTTTTACTTTTCTTGCAGAATAAATTGCCTGAGTGGTTTAATTATGGAAACCACAATAATTTTTTGTAAACAATCTTTCAATTAATGATAGATTTGAAAGGAAAAAAATTGCTGCATTGGGGTGGGAGCATAGACACTTTTGAGAACATACAAAAAGAAAGAAAATACTAAACGGGCCCAATTAGTGAATTAGTTCATCAGTCAGTCAATGGATGTGAGAAATGTATTTGTGCGGGATCATGGGGTTGTCGTGGCATGTGTTGTTACCTTGTGCCAGTGTGTCACCACCACCCTTCAGCCTTGAGTCTAGCTGGTCTGCCATCCCTCACACAACCAGTGGGGCCCATTATGGGACCAGTTTGGACCACCCAGCATGCACAATGAGTTGCAACATTGCTTCAGTGGTCCCTAGGAGAAAGCATAGATGGTGCTTCCCAGGAGTGCTCCCTGTGCTTGCACTTGGTTGTGCCAGAAAGCAGCTAATTTAGATTTCGGGGGATCTTGTAGCTGGACCTCACTAATCTGGGCTCTAGCTGTACTTCTGTAGCTTGTGTGTGAAGCAGGAAATGTTGTCACAGGACCGAACGATCCTCAATATATAGAAGTACTCTTTCCACCAAGTAAACTAGGTTTCGGGGCAAAGGATCTGTCTTCTTTCCAATATGCTGGGGGCTTGTTTGCCTCTATGGACCAGCATTCCCTCCTGTGAGCTCCAGTGAACCAGGAACGTTGCTTCTGCCACGTCTGGAGGGACAGGTTGGGGACCGCTGTTGTCGAGCAACACGACCAGGCCAGCTTAGGTTCTGGGGCCGCTACCTCAGAGGCTAAAGCAAGCCCAGTCTTCCCGGGGGCAGGGGCGGGTCCAGTCCCACCAACTTCCAAAACAAGTCAGGATTCCCAGACCCGACTTTGCATTGCTGACCTGCTCAGTGCAGACATAAAATTTACCTGTGGTAAATCAAGCCACTAGGCGGTTTGATGCCTTAACCATAGTTATGGTATCAACCCAACATGGAAACCCAGAGTAGCTTAACTACCCAAGACTTGCTCCTAGAGAAAAGTATAGGAAGAGGCCAGAAAAGTCTGCTTGTCCCCTCGCAAGAAAGGGGAGCAGAGACTGCTGCACAAAGGGAGGGCTTTGGTCCGACCCGGCATGGCTTGTCTTGCCTTCTTCAGAAATTGCCTTAACCATCATGTGCTTCTTGATGGTGAAACCCAAGAGGAGCTCACTGGGTTATGCCTTGCGTCTGAAGACACTTCCGGTTGTAGAACGAAGCCGCCTCACTGCCAGGAAGCTGCTGTTTCTCTTTGTCACAGTCTGCGTTCAGGCAGTTTCTGGGATGGAGGTGGCGATTTTCTGAGCCTAATTTCATAAACTGAGCAGATCCCGTGACAACATCTTCACAGCTAGAGGGAAAAAAGCATCCCCTCCTCCGTTTCTACCCATCAGAACAGCTGCTGGAGGCCTCGGGACCTTGCTCCATATTTGGGGTTTGTTTTATTTTTTCAAACGTGGCAACCAGACTCGAATGCCTGAACCAGTTGCCCGCAGGGCTGCACAGACGAATTCACACAAACCATGCGCAGGTAGATTTTTGGGGCAACCGGCCGCATCACTTGCTTTGTAGGAACATCGGGAAAGCCATGCTGTGTCAGACCCAAAGTCCATCTAGTCCAGCATGTGTACGCATGGTGGCAACCCGGCATAACCACAGGGTCCCTCCAGCAGGATGGGTGCAAGCCCTCCTCCTGCCCAGCTCCTCAGCAACTGTGCAATAGTGAAGGCGATGCCACAGGTCCCATGCTCCTGGGAGAGAATTTTGCTTTGTAATGGAATAGTGGGGGAAGTTCAGCGACTCGGCAGATGACGAGCCCATGTAGCTTTTATAGCTATGACAACCCAGAGACACCTGTAGATTTGAAGACATGGAAAAATCAGGGAGGGGACTGGGAAATCCGAGGTGGCAGCATCCCCCCCCCCCGCCCTCCAAAATCAGCAACATCATCCCTGGAAGTAAGTTGTTTCTCTCAATTGTTCTGGCTTTATCTCAGGTTTTTCAATCTATATTTTCAGGAGTTCATCCCCTGGGCATCTGGAGCATGAAAACAGCTACGGATTCTTTTTTGGCTGGGCTTGAGAGGTTTTTCCTTCCTCTCACATGCACAGACAGAGACACATGCCCCATATCCATCAGTTCCATTTTGAAGTATGAAAATCCTCTACCCATAACCCAAGGGGCTTCACCTCTGATTGTCCAGCCTCTTCCCTTAGCTTTTTGTCTCAGTCAGCTGGTTTCCATCAGCTCGCACCTTCCTCCCAAGGAGCCCTGGGAATTGTAGTGCTTAGGGAGCAAGAAAACATGGTCAACTCCCACCCAGAACTACAGTTCCTAGGATGCACTGGAGGAGGCCACAAAATTAACACGGGCTAAGAAAACGTTTACGTTAGCAGCAAGTGTGGCATTTGCGCTACACACACCAGGTGTCTCCAAGCACTAGAGAGAAACTGAACACTGACGGTGATACAGATAGATGAGGGTGAGAACTTTGTGGAAGGCTCTGAATACCCAGTTTGCGTTGGTCTGTATCCCCTCATCTGTGGTTGGCATGGTATTAATATTACTTCCATTTTCAGAGTAGATGTGAACAGCCGAGGCTTAGATCTAGCAGGGTGCCGTCCAGAATGTTAGGGCTACAATTCCCATCAGTCCCTGACAGCATGACCAGATCTCAGGAATGATCGGGCTTGCCATCTGAAACATCTGGAGGGAATCGGTTGGGGAAGTCTGATGGAGCCATTCTTCTGGTGACCCATAGCCTGTAAGGCAGACTATTGCAAGGTGTCGGCCCCTGCCCGGTCAGAATTGTTGTGGGTTAGTAATTTTTGTGGACTTGTTTGCAGCACTGGGGCAACTCGTCCCTGTTGGAAGGGTTTGGCCTGCACTGTTGGTCAAATCACAAGAAGAAAGGGATTAGGAGAAAGTTGGGGTAGCTACCTGGTTTCCTTTGGTTGGTTTGTTTGTTTTGATGCAGAAAATCCAAGGTTGCACCAGAGGGAATCACAGCAGTCTCTGTGATGAGTGCAGAAGGAAGGTGGGTCGGGCTTTGGAAAGTTTGAGCACATTTCCTCCTTTGGAGGGGCAGGGATTGATTCGTGGGGGAAGGTAATTATGCAGTTGAGCACAGTCCGCAAGCAGCATCTCCCGTGCAGTGCAAGTTCCATTCATGTGGCATTGTGCTAGACCATGACTGAGCATGGGAGATAGCAATGGGACCCCCCCGCCCCCCCCCAGCACCACCATGCGTGCTTTGTTGCTTGTTTTGAACTGAATGCCGGGCAGTTGCAAATGGATCAAAAATATTCTTGAGCACAAGTGCTCCCTAAATTATGTTTGGTTGAAGACAGTTGTTCTGCTTTGGTTGCCCCTTGAGGGCCACCACATTTTCTTGCCTTAATAGCCATCATGAATCGCAGCACTTGTAAATCTAAATTTAATTGCCTGTCCTTTAGAAACATAGAAACAAAGCGAGTCAGAAGGGGTCTCTCAGGTCATCTAGCCTGACCCCCGGCTCTGGCCGGCTCTGCTGGAGCTGCAACAACAGGACAGATGTGCGCATGGCTGAGAAGTGAGCACACAGCCATGTTTCTCTTCAATCTTATTTTTGGAGTTTGCACTGGCAAAGAGGCAAGCTGCTTTTCAATTTCCCTTGTGCAATTTGTACTGAAAAGCAGGTTTCCTCTTCTCATGTGGTGGAAACACCAATGGTATTTTGAGCATTTTCCTCTGTTATTTTCCTTATGGTCTTGGAGAACATATAAAAGCACAAAGGAGCAGTCATTGTCTGTGGACTGCAGTTTAAGAACATCTGTCTCAGAAAGTATGGGATTACCCCATGACAGAAATGGAAATGAAGAATGTGAAGAGGGATTTCTGAATTATATTTTCCCCAGACGTTTGTTTTCTTGTGAAAGCGTGCATTGTTATAAAATATTAACTAAAATCCATAGGCTGTAATCAGCAGAACTAAAAGCTAGGTGCAATATTAAATTCTATTCTGTGATAACTTGTTCGATAGAATGCAAATCCAGTGTCATGGAAGCACTAAAATCCAAGTGATCTACATATATTTGCCTGCTAGGTGAGAGTAGCCCTTTCCAGGTTAAGCAAGCCTTTGATTTTTACCCCAAAGTTCGATAAAGTTATTGCCAGCCTCGAGGAGAGTATACAGAACCTGACTCCTTTCAGGGGGTAAGGATGACTCTAGAAAACAACAGTCACTAAGTAGACAATGTTGTGTGGATTGTGACTATATATGTCACATTAAAAGAATGGGGTTTACACAAAACGGAGTCTTGGCTCTGAAGATCCCTTTGTGCCAAAGGGGCTTCCAGCAGGTGGAGCAACAGGGCCAGTCCCCCTTCTGCAGGATTCCACTCCACCCATGGAATGCCACTCCTGCGGGGTGCTGTGATCTTCTGGAGCCCCTTTGGCAGAAGGGGGGACTGCGGGAGCCGCAACCTGAGAGTGGGGGAGCTCACGATCCCATGCCCCTGCACCAGCATCCCTGCCTTCCTCAGCAATCTAGGGCGCCACGCTGGTGTCCTGACCCATCCCTCTCAAGGGGCATCGCTCAGCAGCTGTTCTCAGTGGGCTCTTCCCACAACAGCTGTGGGGCTGATCCATGTATCTCTTCTTTACAGTGCCTCTTGTACTGCCTGTCTCAAGAGTGGGGGTGTCGGGTTTATTTTCCTTTATTTTCCTTCTCCCCGTGTTTATTTTCCTTCTCCAGAGTTCAGAAGGTGGGATGGTGCTGCCACCTTTCTCCACCACTTGTGTATCTGCTGGAGGTGCTAGAAAACCGTGCCAAATCTTTTCATTCTGAGATGATGGCAGAGGAGCAGAAATTCTTCTTTCCTGCACTGAGCCGAACGGATCTGTGGCATATCCCCAGCGCCTCCAACTCGTTCCTCTCCAGCCTTTCTAATGTGTGCAGAACTAATCGCCATTTTAATAGGCCTCGCCTAGGAGAAACTCTGGATGGAAACTGTGCCCCCCCCCTCGCCCCCATGAATAACAGGATTAAACTATTTGTACCATCCTTTCTCATTTGAAGGTTTTTGAATTTCAGAAGGAAAATCTATTTACTTTTTAGTTAATTAAGCTCCCAGGTTTATTTTATCCTTTGGCACCCGTTCTGCTCACCAGCTTTGCAGATTCATAGTCCTTTCTTCACGCTCTGTGGAACCCATTCAGTAATTTCCTGAACGATTCCTCTAATAAGGCATATCTTTAATGGTATGCTGAGAAGAGTCAACGTAAACGCTTATCAGGTTGTCTCTCCTGGGAATTTTTCATGTAAGCTCCACCACCTCTCTTGGCAGCTAAATTAAGACACCTACAGAGCTCTTCCCATGCACCATTCAGGGGACACTGCAGGGGGGGGGGGTTTCTACTTTGCCAGTGGCAAAATACCTCCTTTGTAATGGAGAGAGAAACCTCTACAACAAATAGCAGTAGTCTTGCCTGAAATCTTTTGATGCATCATTTTTCTCTCCACTGCCTCAGAAATCGATAATCCCCTCATTTGCACCCCTCCAGAACGGGGCACTGCTTTGATGCCCAAAAAGCAAAAGCCACACAGGTGTTCTCTGTTCTTGCTTTGTAGCTCAGAGCCATAAACCGTGTCCCGTGTCACTTTATGTCTTTGCAACCTGCAGCTTTGATGTGCTAGAAAATTCTGACAAACAAACAAACCCTGCTCTTTCTCAAGCACTTCAAGTGAAAATAGCAATCCAAGTAGACTTTTCTACCTGGGGCAGCCAATCGCTTTGGCGGAAGTACAATTAAAGAAAATAGCTGATCATCGCCCGCCTTTTAATGGTGCCTTCCCAAAGCTGAAACCTGGGCAGGTCAGCCCGGCTCACCTTTGCACAGGCAGCATGAACGGGAGGTGGCATGGTTCAGGAGCGGAGCCTGCGTGTGCCAGGAGACGGGATCTGAGCCGACAGCCTAGGATAGGAGAACCACTGTTAGTCCAAGCAGAAGATGCAGGCTCCGTGTGTATGCCGTTTACCCCGCTCTGGCCGCCCCCAGTCATAAACTGGTTCTGTGCTGCCTGGGGGATCGGCAATTCCACACCCCTTTTGCAGGATTCATCTCCTTTCTCGCATGGAGAAAGTCCAGGGGACCTGACATATTTTTGACTCTCCTGGTCACCTGTGGCGAGCAGTGACAGCCTCCAGGAGACAAAGCAAGGAGTCTCTTATCAACCTGGCAGAGCTGGCTCTTCTCTTCTTTCACGCCTCTTTGTGCAAGTGGTTAAGATCCATCTAGGCTGGACAGCTAGGAGGAATCGTAGGCTCCCAGCTTTGGGGCGCACATCTAGAAAATTGTCTTTCCCCTTCACTGACCACAGGGCTGTGCAGTGCTCAAATGTCAGCAAGTGGCCTTTGGATAGCACTTTTACTGGAGCTCTTGCAGTTCATCTCAGGAAATCTATAACCCTTTAAGAGCGGCCAGGGTTCCTGTCTCCTTGTTACACTGATGTTTATGGCCTAGTCTTGTTGCTTTGTAGAGCAAGGCCAGCCAAGGAGATAGTGCTGAGATGAGAACTGGGGGCTTGTGGTTCCTTTGCTGAAAGCTAGAGCGGTTCCTTGACGCCTTCGTCTCGCTTCCTCGTGCATGACTCTTCTCCCAACGCATCAGGGACCGTGGCAACCGCTAGTCTCCAGAGGAGAACAGAGAATCTTTTTTAGTGGTTGGGTGCAAGATATACTTAGCCAGGAGGGGAATGAGCTGCACGCTGTCTTGATGGTTGGCATGCTGGGAAAACTACGTATTATGGGTCCTTTCCTGGGGATTTAATTTTTTCTCAATTGTTCAGATATTAAATCAGGACTTTGCTTCTGCAGAGGGATACTTAATATGAACGGAGAGGCACAAGAGCAGTAGAGGGGGTCAAGTCGGGCTCTCCAGGGGGTCTCCAAATGCCCACCCCCACTTTCCGGTCCGTGCCCCTTTCCCCAGTCACTGTTGGGCACTACATTTCCCCTTATTCATTTTGAGCTTCCCAAACCACAGTCTCTTTGCAAAATAGCTTTTTACTGTCACACCAAACAAGCTACAGCTACTGAAAGAGCAGTCTCTGTGCCTGGGCAGAGTGCTTAGTTGACCCCAGAGTAGAAACTACTTGTGAAAACTCTCCTTTTCCATAGGGCTGGGCTGTATCTGTCCAGGTGGGTCCTCCTTAGAAGGACCAGCCTCCGGGGTCTTTGCAGACCCTCCAATGGGGTAGCTTTTCTAGCTTAATGCTGCATCATGGGGTGAGGGCCCAGACATCTCTCCTTTGTCCCAACCCGCTCTCCTCCCAGCCCTGCCTGTTCCCATGGGCCTTGAGACAGTCTGGCCCCCCTCTGCCCCCTTGATTCCCACACCCCCATCTCTCCATCTTTGCCACCCATCCCTGGAAAGTGCTGGAAGGAACCGTCTCGTCCACTCCCAGGGCCCACCAAACACCGCCTTTCCAGCCTTTGCGCCATTTCCAGTCCCCGCTTTTAAAAGACTGAGACACATGTTTGCTGCAAACCTCCCAGAGAGCTTCTGCTGTGGGGAAGTATAGAAATGGAAATCATAATAATAATGATAATTGATCATAATAGCCCCTCTCCCAAAGCATGCTTGTCAAAGCGTGCTTTGAGCTCTGCTGTGCTGGCACTTTGCTCCTCCCCCTTTGCCTTTCAGCCCCTCCCCCTTTGTATTGGCCCCGCCCACCCCTGGAATGAGTCCGGCCTCTCGGAAACGGAACCTGGCCCTCCAGCTGGGAAAGAGGGCAGGTGCCCCATGCCAGTAGCTTGCCGTCAATCTGAACTGCTCGGCTCTGTCTTGGACGACACATCCCGGCAATTCTGCACTTTGCACATGCCTTGTTTTCCAGCAGACTTGCTGAGGTTTGGGGGTGATCCCGGTGGTAGGGGCCACCTGGGAGGTGGACCTCATTCTCGAGGCTTTTCCATTAGACCATGCAAAAGCACAACGTCTGACGCCACATCACGCCTTTGAAGAGAACGTTGGAAATCCACTTGGCTGCTCTTCGGGACTAGAGGGGCTGGTTTCCCAAGACTTCCACCCCTTTCCCTTGTGAATCCCCCCTGTGAAGGGTTTAGAAAGCTGCACTGAGATTTTTATTGTTTCGAAAACCCTCCCAGTTCTGTGCTGAGAAAGAGGAGGTACAGTAATGCAAAAAGTAGTTTATAGACACAGGATAAATTTGTGGAAATTCTCTTAAGGTGCATGCTGTACTGTGTGAAGATTATTCTGTCTAGTTCAGACACTTGTGTCGTGTGTTTTCCATGGGAGATTTAAGGAGGAGAAATAAGACTCATGTGCCATTAAGGACCCCAGGGCGTGGCAACTGGTTACCATTTGGGGAGAGGGAGAACTGGGAGCACTTCTGAATGAAGATGTCCTGCCTCGTGTCCACTTAGGGCAACCCAGGCGTCTTCTGGCTTCTAAGCCTTCATTTGTCTTAAGGGTTTTTTCCTGCTTTAATGAGGGCTAGAAACTTACTTTTAAATAAAAGAAAATTCTGATGCTCAGGATTCATGGTGAGCACTATCCTCTGGACCTCAGAAAAGTTTGAATGCACCCTTTCCACACATGTGGAATCATGTCATTGCATACATGAAATTTATTGTGTTTGTGGCTATCAAACAAGGGATATCAACAAATTATCACAGATTAATTATCACAAGTTCCAGGGACGAAAGGCCAAGGAACAGATATCATATATGCAGTTTTTACATTGGGTTCCCCCTACTTAAATGCTGGAAAGCAACCCAAAGATTCAGAAGCTGCCCTTGGAAGGGAAAGGGTGTACCTGAACTGCTCACTGAAAATTCCTGCTTTGCATCCAAAGTGCTCTTCAGAGCACATCTCCTTGCAAAGAATAAAGCAATTAGAAGCTCAGCTCCCGTAGCATACCTTCCTGTGTGCATTTCCCTGGAGATAAATCCCATTGAACACAATGAGACTTACTTCTGAGTCTGCGCACATCAGGATCGTGCAATTCTTTTGAATATCGTGCAGGGCACAAAAAGACACATTTCAGCCAATGCTGAAAGCAGCCGCTCCACTTCCTCTTAAAAATTAAAAATCGAACATGATGTCCATATATATTGTGTGTTTGTCCATCACAGCAGTGCAGTATCTCCGGGTTAGGATTATTACATTGTCTCTAAAATCTGCTGCAGGTGCCATCCCACAGATGTTTAGACAGAAGCTTATTTAGCTTGCTGGAGTTGTAGGACTGTTTGACCGTGCATAGGAGTATACCTTACCTGGTTACGTGCTTTCTTGGCCTTTTTGCCCATGAATGCGACTTCCAAAACATAGCAAGGTGCAACTTGGTTTCCTGTACAGCAGCAACCCAGCCCATTTCTTGGCATCTCCATGTGGTCGAATCCGGTTGTAGGAGATGGAGAAACTCCTTTTCTGCTGAGATCCTGGGCAGCCACCGCCTGTCCAAAGAAGCCAGGCTGTACTTCATGGGGTGACCTGGTATGAAGCGGCTTTCTGTGTCTGGACGACCAATGGGATACCAGTTATCTGTTCATCTCCCCTGTCAAAATACTTCCCTGCAAGTAAAAAAGCAGCACATCAAGGAACATTTTTAAAATTGTTTCTTCAGAAACCGATATCCAGTTTTTCTTAATTTAAGAAAAAATGTTCTCAAAGCTCCTTTTAACAAAAACCATAGAAAAATGCACATCTGAGGGCATGTAAGCTAACCCATTCCCTGGTGAGCTGCATTTCTACTTGCGGGACATGTCTTTTCAACCCAGGAAGGCATTCAGGATTGATTCCTGCGGCTGCAGCAATGCGGCCCATCACAGCTCCTCAGGATGCATTCCCAACCCAGATCTCAGGTGTTGTAAAAACTCTTTTCACATGAGCAGAGACTAGAACACTTTGCTGCTTGGTTTTCCACTGGGGATGCTTCCTGTTACAATAACACCCACAGATGGTGAGGCTCACTTAGATATGGCCAAGCACTCCAGCTGA